TTGTCATGTACGAGGCTGTCCGCCCATCCGTACACATCACATCACCTAAGGTCGTCATATACAAGAAGCGGTCCGGCCACTATCTGTGAGTTGCTTTCGGCGGCATGAAATCTTCATGCAATTGTCGTGTATTTGTACTAGACGGACTTAAAACTCGATGATCCGGACAAATATGGGACCTCGCGTCCGGGGAAGGGACCAAAGACTTGGGTGACACAGGTAAGGAGCGGCCATTTGGGTCTGACCGTGATGAGAGATTAAGGTTGCTGGTAACGTGGCCAAACCGACCGGTGGTACCAATTCAACGGTACTGACATGGATCTTCCTCAACCACTCGTCGGTCGGCCTGGCCACCCAAGGTGGGCCTCGGTAACCTGTAAGCCAACCTGACCACCCATCGGCCGACCTAGTCACCCATAGGGTGACTTGATCCCTCATGGTCTGGAGGCTCCTAGCCACTCATCATTGCAAACCCAGGCGCAAGGCAAAAATAGAGTAAAGGAGTTTAAAAGATAGGATAACATTAATGACTACTCAACTTGTGATCTCAGTAGCACGAAGTGTCGTGCGCTAAGAAACTTGTAAGTCTACCGACCTGTTCCGGGCCAGAGACCCGTTTTACCACCCATCGAATAGACAGTTGTCAGTAAGACGCAAGCGTAAGTAGAATCCCAGGAAGTCCATTGACCTGTGGGCTCGTAGAGTAGCACCCCACCCCTCAACCCGAGCCCGCTATAGGAAGCGGTCTCCATACCCTAGTGGTAAAGTAGAAGACACATAAAGGCCAGGCGGTGTAAAACCCTGAGACAAGTAAAGGCACGGCGTCACCAGCACCTGAGACAACTAGTTATAAGACCACTCTCAACCAAGTCGATCGAGTGGCCGCCTACATTGGACCCCGACTGAAGCATATCCGCAGGGCCCCCTAGGTCGACTTCCATCAAGGCCGACGTCTACATCATCACCAAGTCCTCCGAAGAGTGTAAACCGTCCAGCTGACGGGTACAACAGGTGAGTCAAGGTCCACAAGCGGCATCGGGGTACCCCCTCCAAAAAAAAAAAAAGTCGACAGTCCGACACAGCGAGTGTGTTGGGATCTCGTCAAACGGTTTGACAACCCACTCCACCACACATTGGAAGGTGATATATTAGTTTTGAAGTCCTGGAGCAGCCTTGCACATCATGACCGACGATTTATCTTTCACACCACCAATTCTTCACCTGCTTAAGGTAATACGTCCGTTCTTTTAAACAGATTTTATCCCAGGAAACCAACCTTGATGTCCTCATGCTTCGCAACGCGCACTACCGCATCCACGATCCATGAACCCGACTTGACGTAATAATAACTTGCCACGTTCGAGAAACCCACCACCAAGTCCGTTGTAGCGTTACTTGCCGTCAAAATGTTGTAAGCTAGCTTTCGATGCTGGGTGTCCGGCGTACCCGCAGCTTACATTTTTACAGTACAGTGAACTTACAACACGTTCGTCACATCCGCAGCTGTATAGTAGCTCACAATTATGTACCGACTATGTTGCACATGTCAAGAAAATAGAGCCATGTTGAAGTCCCCGGCGACATGGTCCGCAGGTATCCCTCCAATTTCTGCCTAATTGAAGCGTCTCAATTAGGCATCATCACCGCGATTGATTGGTTCCACGACCTGTAAAAGAAATAATAAATTTGGCTGCTGCATTTGGCAAAAGTTGTTAAAAGCAAAAGTAAATAGGTTAAGTATTTATTACTCGCGTATGTAGACACTACAACATGCATCCCAACGACACTGCCACTTGGCCATGTAAGTTTATACGTCATTCGTCTTACATGCCCATCTCATGTGGTGATTACAAATTACAATTGTATCGTGTCGTCGTCCGAGTGAATTGCATCATCAGGACTAATTCAATGCAATTTTTGCAAAACAGGACTAGCCGCAAAATTAGGACTAATCAGAAACAGAAACAATTTACTAACGTCGACCTTTCCGCAACGCGTGATACGATGCTGAGTGATTGTTAACGGGTATACATTGATTAGCTTACTGTCAAAATGATCTGGTTGAACACCCTTTCATTTCCCAGTTAGCGCTTACGAGCCTATTGACGGAGATGGAGAGCTGCTCGACCGAGGTCTATTTACTTAATAATCGAAATCCTGTGTTTTGGACGCATGGAGTCAAATAATGTTTATTTTGTGTGTTTGTGTGTGTATGTCTGTCAGGGGCAGCAATTAGCGCGCGACCCGACAGCAACTCACACTCCCGCAATGGGGGCAGAAACACTGGTGACATGCCCCCTCGTGCACACTAATTTTAGCGTTTATGAATCGCTTCTCTCGCTACCCTTCTGTATGTGTTTACAACTTTGACTATTTTAGGGAAGTGCGAACCCCAGCACGATTCCGTGCTGGTTGTTTTTGTTCAACAATCACTAGATTTGGATCCAGGCCAGATTCGATTTTGTCAAGTGGTGAGATTGTGCGTCAACCATTCGTCCTTTCAGTCTCATAATGAAGAAGGGAGGAAGTAGATTTACAAGATAAGGATGAATATTGCATGTAAATGGCTCGATACGACTTGAGTTAAAATGGAACTTTTAACTGAGTGTACACCGAGTCCTGAAATCAAATTGCTTAGGTCTGCGAAGACATTGCCATCCGTTCAAGACTATGCATGAGGTTCCACGTGTTAACAAGATCGAGAGTCACACCCATTTACAAGTGACCTCTGATACGCATCAAATTATGAATTTCCTGAGTGGGTGTGCAGGCAGAAATGTATATGTCATGGTTATTACATTAGGTAATAACCATGATGTAGGCCCGTTACCAATCACGAAGTTTCCTATCGCATGTTGCAGTCAGATAGACAGTGATACACTAGTTTCATTGCTGATTGGTCCTTGTTTTTGTTGGAGATCAAATTAATGTAACGAAAGACTTTATGTTAAAGCGCGCGCCAGTAGCGTTTTGGCTTCCGCCAGGGGCCTCGTCAGTGGCTTATCCAATCTAGAATTGCGATCTTTCCGTATCTTGCACTACCAAACTAGATATCTTCTTGAACTTAGTGTAACCACACAAATCACTCACTATAAATACTCAAACCTGGCATCCGGGCAGTCGACGTGGAATAGAGTGTCCGCTATGACAATTCCACTTCTAAAAGTTTTGAGGCTATTCATGGTTTTGCAAAGGTTGCATCAATCTTGTACGAATGTTTTAGATTACTGTCGTCGTACCACCTGTCAAGGTGTTGTCTATATCTCCTTGTTTATCGGTTAAATCTTCACACAAACGTCCAAGCAGGTGAGACCATTTCTTGATATTTCACTTAATCCTTGAAATCTGACAAACTGTCACGCAAAAAACTTTCTAGCAATTCGAAATAGGCTTCCTGCAGGCGCGTGATTACTTCAGAAATGGCTCCGGCAGCATTTGGCGTTCAATTGAGGAAGCGCCAATCATCAGCTTTATATTCGTTGGGGCCGAGGACATTATACATGTTTGCAAATTTATTCTCAGCTAATGTGTGTGTGTTGATTAAAATAAATAGCAGATACGATGTACAAATTAAACATCTAGTGTTGCCGATTGTTTTAAACGCGAACATCGACATACGACGTGCCTTGTGATTCGGAAGCGTCCAATGCTACCGAAAAGGTACACATCCTTCTCGGAATGAGTGAGCGCAACATATTCAAATCTCGCATCACATTAAAAACAGATAAACGCCGTGAATTGGATTTCATTCGTGACGCCGAGCTTTGACACAACCACCATATCTTTTAGGCGCCTAAAGGACCAAAGCTGTCGCTTCACACTCATCCCGATTCGACGTATAAATGACCCAATGGTAGGTCATAAATGTACAGTCCGTACAAATTTACGTATCGCATTTCCAGATGTTAGACCGTCTGTGCCTTCATGATAGAACATGTCTCCGATGACAGTTAAATGATGAACTTGTCGATCCAGTATGCAATATTGTCTTTCTTCTTCTTGGTATACGATGTGATGGTTTGGCATCGGCCTATAAACATCAAAAGAAGACCAGCTCACCAAAAGTCGGAGTTGAGCTAAGATGTTTTCTATTGATTCGAGTGCTGCATCAATATCTGCGACCGTTCGTTCCAGTGACGATACACCGGTCCAAATCGGGTCTTGTATAAATTGTTCTTCGTCATCTTTTGAACCGATCTTTGGCTCAGAACCCAATGTGCTACAGAACCCAATGCGGTACTGAACCTGCACGCGGCGCTGTCAATCTTGTAATTTCGCCATTCTAGCTGAAGAAAACGAGACCTTGTGTAATGGGGCGCCCTTTGTTTGGGGTGCCACGAAACTTCAGGTACACTAGTACGTACAGAGTAAGCTAATCTACTCAACAACTATATTGAGTAAAGGTAAAAAGAGAACTGTATTTAATATAGTTAAGCTATCAATATAAATTTAATCTTTATCTAACTATTTCAATCTGCATTGTCGTATGACGAAAACTTGCTCACCACTCATTACGCGCGTCTAGCAGCAATTGGTGACAACCTATGGTTAATATGTCTTTATCAACCAATCTTTGAGCAGCGCATGAATGTTATCCTTCAAACGGGATAAAACTCCTTCAATAGTATCCATCCCGGATAATAGGGAATCGTCAAGCTGGACAATCTCCCTATTGACACCATTTGGTGTCAATATCATGTAACGGGCTACCCCGTTACACCCCTCCTTATTATCACCCGTTGATCCATCACCCGTTGATTGAATAGAATAGATTGGGACAGGGTGACCACCATTGGATCAGCCTGGGAAAGGGAGCACTTGTTGGTCAAATTCCATTCATTTGCCAATCCAACGCATGGTTCGAAACCCAAGCGAGTTGCTACTGCAGCAGCAAGAAAGGCGGCTGCACGCATGCGTGCAGCCAAAGAGAGTACTTCTCACACCTCAGCAGCTGGTGATTCGTCACCTGTTATTGTGAACAGTCCCTGTGGTAAGTCACCATGCGCGACAGGTACATTCGCTGCGGCTGTAGCGGGTACCGCGAATCGTATCGAGATGAGTCTGACATAGAGCTCATCTATTCTGGAGAGTCGGATGATGCATCCGACTCGAAGGTGAAACATCACGCCTCTGGATCACCCGGGGCGGACACTGCAAGAGCCAGGTTGACTGGCTCTGGTCAACGCGGTGGTATCATGTTCGAAATCTTTGGATCGAGCGACTATTCCGACGAATCTCCGCCTTACGCAAGTCTATCCAACGATAGGACGCGTGGAGATGGCGGTGATGCACCTATACATCACCACGAGCGAAGTAACTCGAGGGATCGAGGTTTCACTGATGTCAGTGCTCACGCAGGCAGAAATCCAGAGGACAGGGACCGAAATTTCCTGCGCCACGCTCCTCAAGTGGAGGATCCTTGGATGCCGTCATCCAGAGAGTTGGACCGGTTAGCCGGCATGACTACCGAAAGGGATCAAATCTTGTTGTTCGATTGCAGGAAGAGTTGCCCAGCTGATTCCAGAACGGAAACTATCCGTGCTGAGGAAGAGTTCTTCACCGATGCCTTTTTTAAACATCGGTATTACAACGGAGACCGTGGTTAAGACGCTGAGGCCTTGGTGCAAGGATGGAATGTCCTCATCTATAAAATCGAGTGCATTGGCTGTGAGGCCTGGCTCGGTAAACTTGATGCAGCTCGCATCAGGTTCGAGAAGCGCACATAGTTGGGGTGCGATACACGTTGCACCGGCTGTAAAGAGAGGCAGGATTGCCCTGTCCCTCGTAGGGTGATTCGTGTACAGGTTGCCTGGAAAACTCGAACCGTGCCACTAGGAAGGATTACCTCTCTAATGATCACTACTGGAGTGCGCGCATCTCTTCTGAGATGGCCGAAGGGATGACACTTTGCAATTCATGTACTCGCGTTCGGGGAGGTCGTTTTCCGACGGACCTTTTTTGAACGCAGCGGGTGGGTCTCGTCATACTGCTCGACGAGACCCAGGACATCAACAATCAGCCTAACACGAGACTCCCAGCTGTCCCACTCCGGTGGATAGCCACGCCAGTGGACGAGGTAACTCGTCCGGACGCCATATACGTCGCGGTGGTTCAAAATACGCTCCATCAAAAAGCGTTGACCACCGCCTGAGTCCATAAAAGGATGTGAAGGTGGCGAGAACACCTGATCCGGCTCGAGTGTCGGATCAACTTGATGTCAGGAGCTGAACCGTGTAACGGAACAGTTGCAAGATGACCTGGCTCATGAACGGACTCGGCGTTATGAGCTTCAGGATCTTGTAAGGGATAATTACAATTCCTTAGCGCACGATCGTTCGGAAGATCGTGCCGCTTTTGCGTTTACGCAACTTGAGAGCGAACGTTCGACTCGTTCTCTTCGTGATGAGCTGGATGCTGCTCGTCGAGACATCGCTGAGCTGCGTGAACAGGTCGCTTCGCTCGTCGACCTGACTGGCTCGTTGAATTGGGACCACTCGAAGGTGGTCTCGGCCTTTGAACCCGGAGGTGTTCTTTGCCTCTCGAAACGGGCTCGTACTGGTAGTACGGGCGGAAAAGTCCAACGTAAAAACTAGGATGCGTACGCATCTTACAGGGCAGTCCAATCGTGTATGCGTTGCCCATTCGGCGCAACACACGAAACGGACCGATACACTTGGGCAGTAATTTACTGCTGCCCACGTCTTTCACTGCGTGTTTTGATAAATTTACTGTAGACGTAAAACTATATGTCCTCCATTAAATGAAAGAACACTCGCTCTTCCATGTCGGTCTGCATTTATTTTCTGTTTGTCCAGTGCATCTGCAGTAGACTCTTCAACGAAGCGGACGATCGCTTCGCGAGTCAGCAGAAATTCCTCTGCTGATTCATCCTTGTCAAAAGCAGTGCGCTTCGTGTGCACTGCTGAAAGAACGTTGTCTTCACCAGTGAGTGCGTCATCGTCCTCACTGTGGCAGTCATTGGCGATGCTGAATATACCAGCATCATCGATGTCGATCGCATCGACATCGGTATCCACCACGTCGACACCATTGTCTACGTGTGATGAGCAAGAACCAGATCGGGTATTGTTCGAGCGAGTACACCCCCCCCCTTCAACGAGAGTCACACTCTAAAAAGGCGGGTAAACGTGGATGGCGTAGGCCATTCACGAAGAACGGTGTATGCGTTGTCGACGCATGCACCGAGTTGTTGATGTCGAATTCTTTCATCGACAAGAACTCACTCCAAATTTAAACGAGTGGAAATACCGTCGAAGTATCTCTTCGAGGATGCGGTTGACGCAATCCGTTTGACCATCTTTTTCCGGATGGTCAGAAGTCGATATCATCAAAAGAGTTCCAAGTGAGCGGAACACGGATTGCCAGAACTTTGCCGTAAAGCGGGGGTCCCTATCAGACACGAGCTCACGGGGTAACCCGTGAAGTCGTACGATAGTATCGATGAAGACACGAGCACAGCACTAGGCTGTGATTGACTCCGGTGCAGCAACAAGGTTTATTTATCTTGCTGAACTGATCGACAAACACAATAATACCAGTATTCTTGTGAACTTCTTTCGGAAACCCAAAGACGAAGTCCATCGATACGGACTGCCAGCACTCTCCCGGAATCGGTAGAGGCTGCGAGGGATTTACGGGATGAAGGACTAGGCTTCATCCGTTGGCAACTTTCGCAAGCGCGAATGTATTTTCGTACAAACTTGTACTGGCGAGGCCAGTAGAAGTCACGACTTGCTGTGAGTTAAATCTTTTCTCTACCGCGATGCCCACTTGTTGGGGCATCGTGACACTCATACATGATGCGCATCGCAAATCATCATGAGCGGAACAACGACATGAGGTTTGTCGCCGTTGACTGCTGTATAGTACAGCGTTCCATCACGAACCGAATACCGTTTGGTTGAAGAGCGGTATTGAGGCGTCAAGCTTTTTAAAGCTTGACTGCATGGATTAGATACGTAATCCAACAATCGCAGAAGAGACTCATTTTCTGTGTATGCCTTGCGCACGTCGTCAAGCATATTCGACGACGGAACAATCACTGATAGTGTTGCAACAGTGGGATCAATCCTACTGTTGGGTTGAGCAGTCGGCTCGAAATCGGGCCGACACGAAAGAGCATCAGCGACGACATTAAGGTGTCCTGGTTTATACTCGACGTAGAAGTTTACTCCGCGAAGAAATACAGCCACCTCGCCATTCGTTGCGAGAGGTGTGGACTGTTAACGGCCGTGCGTAATGACGCATGGTCGGTATAAACGATGGAGGGCCTATCTCCTAAGAGATATACCCGAAACTTAGCCAGTGCATGTTTCATGGCAAGGAGTTCCTTGTCATGCACCGGGTAATTACTCTCATCTGCTTGCAGCTGACGCGATTGATAACAGAGGACGAGCTCAACGCCCTCTGAGTCGTACTGCATCAACGCGCAGCCGATTGCAAAATCGCTGGCGTCACGACATGAAATGGTCTATCCTGGTCTGCAATCGCCAACACAGGCGATTGTATCAAGCTTTTCTTGATGCCTTCAAAGAGTGCTGACACTCAGCGCTCCATGAACACCGCTCGTTTTTCTTTAGTAGACAAGGTTGATGTACGGTCATCTCGGCATAGTTGCGCGAGTATTTGTGCGAGTACGCCGCCAAGCCAAGGAGCTTTCGAAGTCCTTGACGTCGACTGGCACAGGCCAGTCGCTAATCGCCTTGATCTTTTCCGGATCAGGGCTTACACCGTTATTACCCACGATGCAGCCAAGGAGTGGTATTTTGCTCACTGCGAATATACACTTCTTGAGGTTCGCGAACAACTTATGCTCCCGCACAAGTGTAAGGACCTTCCGGACGTGGATTATATGAACCTCCACGTCCGTCTTTCCATACCTAGCTCGGCTAAGGATGAAGAAATCGTCGAAGTAACTCGGTGCAAAATCGCGACCAGATCGCAACAGATTCGTAACACATCTGTTGAACGTTTCAGAGGCATTACTAAGCCCTTTTGGCATCACTAGTCACTCCCAGAGCATACCACTGGGGGTGCTCACTGCTGTGTACGGGATGCCCCGTTCACGCATGAGGATCTGATAGAATCCATCCATCAGATCCATGGACGAAAAGATGGTACTTTTTGCCATACCATCTATGATGACGTCCTTTCTTGGGATCGGCGTTGAGCCGGTACCGTTGCAGCGTTCAATTTGTTGAACGCGTGCACTATCCGACACCCTCCTGTGGCATTTCGCACACAGAAGGTCGGAGAGCTGTGTGGGGATGTTGATCCCCTCACATGACAGCCGCTAAACGATCGGCAAAGAATTTGTCGATCGCTGTTACCTGTTCTCGAGGCAGTGGCCACTCCTTCATGACACAGTATTTCGACCCAGGTTTCAGTTCGATCTCATGCCAAGTGCCTTTGTCCTTGGGCAGCTCGCGTGGCATGGATTTAGGGAAAACATCCCTCAATTCGACAAAATCCTTATACAAGGGTTTCGTCTCCAAAGAATCCCAAGATTGAGACGTGTATCGCTCACTCCGGGTCTTCTAACGAGGATACTCTCGTCAATCGATATGCTACTGAAAACCTGTTCGCTCTAAGCAAACACTTGTGCCGACCGAATATCGGCGACGTACTCGTCCTCTGCGACGATTGCGCAGATCTGCTTGATCTTGTCACTATGCAGATCTCGCAAGAATCTTTTAGATTCTAGAGTTGGCAACTTGGTTACCTCCGAATCTGACTTCGGACGTGTAACCAGATCAAGTGTATAAGCGCCTACACTTGATCCGTCATTCACCAAGACATTCACTATCTCGGTGCCTTCCTGGGAAAACACATCCGCAGGTGGATGGGAATACAAACCCTCAACATAACTCTCTCAAGAATTATCACTCTCAGGAACGCTAGAACTTTTTTCCAATACGTGTACTGACCGTAGGTGTAATTCCACAGTAACATCCTCTTCGATCGACACTCTTTCAGTTGATCGGGCTTGCTCTACGATCGACTCTCTGGTAGCCAATCTCGCTTCAACGTGTTGTTCATCCTAAACAACAATCATCTATCTTCTTGGATGCACCATTCTTGGTGTGCATTCGTGTTCCAGTCCACTCGATCTCTTCGAGTGGACGCAGCCCGTGTCTCTACACAGGTGCCGGAAGCCAGTTCCACAGTGTAGTGGCCTTTTAAACTGTGATCTTGTGCAGTCAAACTAACGACCATACCACAAGTGAGGCCATCGCACTCACTCGTAGTACATCTACACGTTTGTGGACGCTCCAAGACGTTCATCAGATGGCCATCTGATGAACAAACGGCAGGCATCTTCGCGTATCGATGCTGTCAGCTGATCCATGGCTGGTATTTTCTAAGCCATGGCAGACCAAGGATGACGTCAAATTTGTCATCCAAATCCAGTACAATGAAGTCATCATCATACTTCTGTCCTTCTAGCGTGTAGTGGATTCCCACTACACGTTTGTTCACTGTTACGGATGCGCCTGTATCAAGGCACACCGTCATCCTCGTTGGAGGGAACTCTGGCTCAACACAGTTGAGTCTACTATCTTCTAGCGACTGGCTTCGAATAAACCTGTTCGACGCCCCACAGTCAACTAGGGCGCGAAGTGAATTCCACTTGTCACTTCGATCTTCAAAGTGATGAGTGATCCCTCACCACTAGGGGCAGTAACACAGCGACTGTGTTGGGAGCAATCTCCGTCAAGAGTCCTGCAAATTATCTTGACGTTGCTGGATCAGCAGGATGCTCCGTCCTACTGACTCTGTCCGTTTTTGGCGGTCCGACTTGCTGTCGCGGCTTAGCGACATGGTCAGACCCACGCCTTGGACATGTCCTAGGCCAACAGTGGTCATCACGTCCTGTCTTTGGACGTGATGCGGTGCTTGGGACACTACAATCATGAGCGTAGTGCCCAATATTCTGATAGCGATGGCATCTTGCTGTTCGCTTGTGACTCAGAGAGCGATAGTTCTCGCTCTCGATATAACAGAGGTCCATTGTTTCGGTACCTCCTGTTTCCTGTCGTCTCGTCGGACGATAGTTTAACGAGGTAGCCTGAGAAAGTCTCAGGCTGAAGTCTTCTTGTTCCGCATGCGCTATCGCCTTTACCAGCGTATGGAAGTCCTCTCAAACATATAGGTCTTTCACGACACGAATTGACTCGTACTCGTGGTACACCCCCCCCCTCATCCCCCTCCCCGTCTGTTCGGTCTCTACCCGTCGACACCTTTACAGGGGTAGGGCCCGTCGCTCACTGGTCATAAGGACGCTTCCGCGAGTTTTCCACCTGTTCGCTTACTCGCGCGCTGCCCCTTTTATATTAACACGTTGATGAGATGAGCGTGTGCTCATCAACAGGGTTTTCCGTGACGCTACTCGCAAGGTAGCGTAGATGTTGTGCGTAAGCATGCACATCACGCTTACCTTGCTTGAGCCTCAGGAGTGCAGAGCGTGCTCTGAACTCGGCTCGTGGCAGCTCAAACGTATCTTTGAGCCGAGACTTCAAGATCTCCAACGACTCAAACACGTTTGGGGGTGTGAAGCTTGAGCCCTAAGGCCCAAGTCTTTGCTCGCCCTGTCAAATTTGACAGGGCGAAGGTGACTTGCATCTCGTCACCTCGATGTGACTGGCCCTGATGGCGTCGTCTTACTCGACGAACCATCCCAAAAGAGAATCTTCATTGGTTCCCTTGTACCTTGAGATATCTATCTTCAAGGTTTCGGGTCGACGCATGTGCGTCGGCCCGCCCATCGACTGATGAGAGCCTTGCTGTTGTAGCAAGGCTATCTTCTGTCTTTCGACGGCAAGTTCCCCTTGTAACTTGTTGATAGCAGCATGTTGCTGGTCTCTGCTTAGAGACTCCAACATACCACTGATGGCGGGTTCGCCCCTGAGCACACTCATACGGACGACTACCTTCTATTCTGAGTCACTCAGATGGGAGTATCCTTCATGTGTGATGTCAAAGCTGTCGATTTCTACGTCCAACATTTTCATGTTGGACGGACACTAAGTAGTCGTTGGACGGACTACGAAATGCTACCAGGTGTAGCGGGGCACACTTTGTTTGGGGTGCCACGAAACTTCACGTACACTAGTACGTGCAGAGGAAGCTAATCTACTTGAACGATTCGTTTAAGTAAAGGTAAAAAGAGAACTGTATTTAATATAGTCAAGCTATCAATATAAATTTAATCTTTATCTAACTATATTAAACTACGTCGTCGTATGACGATAACCTACTCATCACTCATTGCGCGCGTCTAGCAGCGATTGGTGATAATCTATGGTTGATATGTCTTTATCAACCAATCTTTGAGCAGCGCATGAATGTTATCCTAAAAGGGGATAAAACTCCTTCAATATTATCCATCTCGGATAATATTGGTAGGATATTGTCATGCTAGACAATATCCCTATTGACACCATTTGGTGTCAATATCATGTAACGGGCTACCCCGTTACACCATGTATCCACTTGTGCTAATGATTGAACCGACGTTGCACACATCATCACCCTTCCTACGCTTCGCAGGAGGCGCCTTTAATCGATATGGGTTTATGAAGATGCAGAATGCTCACTCCATAAATATGCTTAATGTGTTTCCTTTGTGTTGATTGACAACGATCTGATTTTGTATAGACAAACTGAGACTTTTCCTAGGGATATACCTAATGTATAGAGGCATGCACATGAGTCCAATCGGTTCCTGCTACGCCACGTTTATTCCTGTGCAAGTCCAGGCTGTAATGAATGAGTACGTAGCTATAAAGCTCAACAATCTTGATCCCACACGCAGACCAAAAAAGAGACGTACATTTCGCAGGGCATAATTTGATCGCATATATTGCCACTTTCATGACGAATCAAAGTGGAATGTATCAATGGACATTTACTGTGGCCCGCGTCGGAACAGATCCGGATCTGTTCCGACGCAGGGCTCTCTCTAGAAAGCAGCAAACAGATTCATTACATTGTAAGATCTATCCTCGCAACAATATAATACGTTCTCCAATCGGAATGGACAAGGAACGTCATGATGCAAATGACATGAAGCGCATTTACAAAAGAGTAACAATCTTGGCCGGACGACGATCCGTACGGCGCTTCAGGTACCATTGACAAGATCTGCTATGGTCCGGTAAGTCGTCTTAGACTGGCCTATACGGGCAAATTGGTACTGGGTGTTAGCGACGCGCGGCAAACTTTGTTGCGGGTGCAGAATTTCTTGTCATGGCATAAATCTCGTTCGAATAACAGCGAAAGCCGCGAAGGTACCGCCTTCTCCAGTGTAAAGTTGAATTCGTGTAGCGGTTTTCGACACCATCCATCCTGAAGCCCAAAGTGTGCCAAACCGTCACATGCTTAGCGTATTTTTCCGGACACCTTTGTTGAAGTTGTCATCCGATACTGCACGGATACTCCCACCACCAATAGCATAGCTGTTCACCATAATTACCTGATTGCATGCATTAGCATTTCCATTATACTGTGCTACATTGGTGACTTGTGGCATTTGAGCTGGACGCCACATGCATTGACATCGATCATCGAATCTACAAGGCGAAACTTGGTGTCAAGTCCATTTCGACGACGATGAGATTGCTTCCAGACGTTCACAAGTCCACAGAGTGTACATACAAATCGATGGAGCATGCTACGCCACAGTACAAGCAAGTAAATGTAGCTGCTGCTTTGTCTTGAAGAAGCACATCGACCAGCAAACACGTTTTAGAATCGTCTAAAAGGAAGGCTACAAACAAAAGGCATTCCACAAATTTTCTAAATCTGACCCTCCAGTCCAATTTACCCCCTTTCACTAAGTATCCACTACTTCATTTCACAGTTCCCACTCGCCCTACTCGTTTCCTATCCACTATCACGTTTCACAGTTTCCCTTTCCCCCATCCAACGCGCATTCATTCCGCACTGCCATTCCGCGCTCGCTCGGCGGCCATGGCGAACGCGCGACTGAAACAGGCGCGGCGCCGCACCACGTCCCAGAGCTCGAACGCCTCGTCACCAGTCGCTGCTTCAACGGCGCACACGCAGCCACTCGAAGTAGCGGACGAAACCGCGTCTGTCGCTCCCCAGGAGTCCATGTCCGACGCTCAGAGCGAGCGCGCAGCGCTCGAAGTTGCCCTTCAAGTGCGGAAACGTACTTTAGCGGATCAACTGCAAGCCCTAACCCTGGGTAAACCCCTTGCTAGAATCCCGCTACCGGGCTGCGACGCGGCGGGGCGACGCGTCGAGCGCTTCCATCGCGACTTCTTGCTCCAGGAGATGGAGTGGATGGCCGCCGACTTTAGTCAAGAGCGCAAGTGGCGCATGCGCAACGCCAAGGCGCTGAGTCAGGCGCTGGTGTCGTACTTAAGTCGACAAGAAGCGCGGCTCGTGCGGCAGCAGAAGCGCGACGACGTGGCGCGACGACGAGCGGCGGCGCGCGTGGGGCGCGAAGTGAAGAAGTTCTGGAGCAAAATCGACAAGATCATTGCGTTCAAAGTGAAGCTTGGGGCTGAGGAGCTGAAGCAGCAGCAGATGCAGACGCAGCTCAAGCAGCTGGTGGAGCAGACGGAGAAGTACGCGAACGCGTTGGCGGCCAGCTTCCAGGAGGGACGAGAGGAGGAAGAGGAGCGGAAAGTTGGAGATAGAGATGGAGAAATAGGTGGAGGGAGTGGGGAAGAGATTGGGAAAGAAGAGAGTCAGGATGGGGCTGTCGGAGACGCTGACTTTGTGTTGACGAGACGGGACGAGGAGAACGAGGCAGAAGATGAAAGTACGATTGACGAGGAGGAGAAATTGGCGCGGGAGAGCGGTGTGTCTGGCAGTGCTGATGAGTTGCGCCTGTTGAAGGAGGAGAGCGAAATGTCGATTGAACAACTTCGAGCTCGATACATGAATGCGTCGGATGGTGCACAGTCGAGTGGTGGTGATGATGATGATGATGTTCTTGAGAGTGATGGATCTGAGGACCGACAGGATGCTGGAGAGACCAATCGACAGGAGGAGAGGAGTCTTGAAGAAAGTCACGTAGACGTGGCTGATGCTGTCACGTTAGATAGAGTTGTACCAGAAGCGCCATCGGCAGCAAGAAAGAGCGGGTACAAGCGGCCGTATCTGCTGACGTCCCGGTTGAATTTACGAGAGTACCAAGAAGCTGGTGTGAATTGGCTCGTCAGCATGTGTCAGCGACGTATAAACGGCATTCTTGCAGATGAAATGGGTCTTGGCAAAACTATTCAGACAATTTCACTTTTAGCACACCTTGCTTGGGCTCAGGGGCTCTGGGGGCCTCACCTGATTGTAGTACCCACGAGCTGTCTTGTGAACTGGGAGATGGAGTTCAAACGTTGGTGTCCGGCTTTCAAGGTGTTGACGTATTTTGGGTCAGCGAAACGTCGCAAAGAGCTCCGACAAGGATGGTCGAAGCAGAATGCGTTTCAGGTGTGCATTACTAGCTACCAGCTTGTGGTACAAGATGCGCACTGCTTCAAGCGAAAGAAGTGGTATTACCTAATCCTTGACGAAGCACACAATATTAAGAACTGGAAAAGTCTACGATGGCAGACGTTGCTGACTTTTAGCTCGCAGCGTCGTCTGTTGCTAACGGGAACGCCGCTGCAGAATAATTTACTGGAGCTCTGGGCTCTCATGCATTTTCTTATGCCACATGTGTTTGCGTCTCGCAAAGAGTTTACTTACTGGTTTCAAAACCCATTAGCGTTAATGGTGGAGAACAGTAGTGATGCAGCCCAGTCGGAGAATAATGGTGTCAAGGGTGGGAAGGACTTAGTAACACAGCTGCACGGTATTATTCGGCCATTTGTTTTGCGTCGACTAAAGAAAGATGTGGAGAAACAATTGCCGGGCAAATTTGAGCACGTGATTACGTGCCAGCTGTCCAAGCGACAGCGATACTTGTACGAAGATTTCATTTCGCGGGGCAGTACTCGCCGCGCAATGTTTGGCCGCAGAAAAGGTCGGGGTGCTAATTTTATGAGCATGATGAATGTCCTCATGCAGCTGCGTAAGGTGTGCAATCACCCGGACTTGTTCGAGCCGCGTCCGATTGCATCTCCGTTGGATATGCCGAGTATCCATGTGAACGTGCCCTCACGTTGCGGTTACTTGGTTGCTGAAACCGTAAACGAGCGTCCGCGCGTGGCACATTGGACCGGGAGTAATTTACCTGGTCTGGAGTTGTTGCGGAGCGAAAAGTTTACTTCTAAGCTACGAAGGGAACTTTTCTTCTATGACGTAAGTGCACCACTTCCAGATCAAACTGTCGGGGCTGTACCGCCAGCATATGTTGGAAACAACGATATTGTCCAACGAATTATTCGGCTAGCAGCCAAGCGTCGGAAGTATTGGGAGAGTAAGCGTGCAGGTGTTGCACAGTTTCAGAAGATCCGCTTTGGGCTGTATCTGGATGAACCTGTGTTTGGAAGCGATCTCATTCGAGTTTGCACAATGCCAACTTTCATCTCATCAGCGATGGAGGTCCATATACATCGTGCTCGGCCTCGTCTCGGCTACCGGCAACCAACACTGGCTCTGCAAGCTATGGTCCGTAGCCCCGAGGAGAGACTGTTGTCACTGCAGTCCACAGTTAATAAATCAGTTTGCTATGTGCCGAAGGCTCGTGCGAGGCCCGCTCGTGTCACGTATGGGGGTGGTGGGTTTGCTTACGACAATAACTTTGTATTGTCACGCAAATCCCATGCTGATGAGCTTGAGGCGAGCGACGTCCGGGACGTGGCACATCGTATACTGGCACCGTATCATGACTCGTTCAAGCGCACGCAGTTGTTCTTTCCCGATAAGGCGCTGGTTCAATTCGACTGCGGTAAACTTCAGCAGCTCGCAGTGCTTTTGCGTACATTGAAACATGGTGGCCACAGATGCCTTATTTTCACACAAATGAGCTCGATGCTGAACATTCTGGAAGTATTTTTAAATTTACACGGCCACACGTACTTTCGTTTGGATGGTGCGACAAAGGTGGAGAAAAGGCAGATGCTCATGGAGCGGTTCAATCGTAACGAGAAAATCTTCTGCTTTATATTGAGCACGCGAAGTGGTGGCTTAGGAATAAACCTTACAGGTGCAGACGCTGTGATCTTTTACGACTCAGACTGGAATCCTGCTATGGATGCACAGGCTCAAGACCGTGCTCACCGCATCGGTCAGACGCGTGATGTGCATATTTATCGCCTTGTGAGTGAGCACACGGTAGAAGAAAACATTCTTCGTAAAGCACAGCAAAAACGACATTTAGACTTTCTGGTGATGTCAGAGGGGCAGTTCACCACCGACTTTTTCTCGAAGGCCAGCTTACGGGAGCTCATGGTCGGTAGTTCAGGTGAAGAACGTGAGGATGTTGATGCCAAGTCTGAAGTTGACGACGGGAGTTCAGACGAGGATATAGGTGATGAGAATGAGGTGTCTCTTGATATTGTAGAAAACACTATGGCACAACTAGAAGACGAGGAAGACGTTGTAGCAATGAAAGGTGCGCGGGCAGAGTATTTGCAAGAACAGCGTGAATTCGACGAAGATGCGGAAAGCAACGTTGCATCTCCCCGTACGAAGGGGCCGATAAGTCATGGCGAGGGAATTTCGTCATCGAGGCCTTCTACTCCATCGTCGGTATCGGTGAGCACTGCAGCGAGTGAAAAAGGTGACAGCGAAGACGGTGAGTTCGAAGACGAGAATAGAGCTGACGAGGACACAACGGAAGAAGATTACGACCGGCCGTCGAAAAGAACAGACACGTGCGATGTCGATGGGTTGGATCAGGGTGAGAGTTGCGAAGAGAATGGTCAGGCAAGTCGGAAACGGCAGCGTGACAGTTCAAGTGGTCACAAAACAACGACGACGAAGCGTCTAAAGTTTATCGAATCTAACGATCAAAATGAAAAGCATGGTGAAAAGGTGCGTGAGAGGGCGCGCGATGCGGCCGAGGAGCGGAAGTTACAGGCTTGGAAGGCGTCTGTGCAATCGCTACACGGATTCGAGGACTCGTTGAATTCAGTCGATCGCTACGCGCTACACTTTCGGGAAGATGTGGATCCTTTGTATGCATGTACTCCATCCCAGCAAGCTGCAGCGCTTGCTGGAATCGATGTCAACCCTTCTGCAACTACGCTATTGGAAGACATAGAGCGAACCGAGGCGGAAAAACGAGAAGAAGAGGCACGACTCATCGCAGAAGGTGAGCTGATCGTTGGTCATATGGACTGTAGTGATGACACTGGATCGGAGCAGATGGCAGAATATTACACGGAACTTTACCGACGTGAGCGCGCGCACGTGCTCTTTGAACAGCGTAAACGTCTTCTGACAGGAGCAGCGTGGACGCTCATGAAGTGCGCAAAGACTGGCAAGCCGTTTTACTTCAACACTGATACGCGTGAAGCTATGTGGGAATGCCCTGCTGTTCGGGTCGCCAACGAGCAGTTCAAGAGTGCGCGGGGGAGGGGATACGAAGGTCTGCCGCCACCGGCATTGCTTCGTGTGCTATCGATGCTGGACCCGTTCCCTGAGCGCTACCGCGTTCAGATGGTTTGCCGCACCTGGCACGTCGCGGCGCAGCACCAGTCATTGTTTGTTAAGGTTTCTGCGAGCGACTACGGCCCAGGATCGTCGGCATCTTTGGCCAAAGTATTAGCGAACGTAGCTTCTGGTGAAACTGTGCTTTTCAGTCCGGGGGTATATCAGCTTGATGAACCGGTGGAAATATCGAAATGTTTGAAGCTACTGGCGGCCTCGGATGCGCACGTTGAACTGCAAATGCACTCTCGTCGTGCGCAGCTGCGTTGGAGCGCTCGTGGTGGAGTTATTTGTGGTTTTCACTTCACGCGGGCTAGCAGTACTTGTGATGTAGCCGCACCTGACGAAAAACCAAGTTCGAATTTCACGGAATCGGTGGCCACAGTCAAAGAAAGCAGGCGTGCGGTACGAAAACGTGATAAGAAGCTGTGCAACTGGCAGAATCTATTGCGAGTTGCGGGGGACGGACAGTTGCGCGTAGAGTACTGCGAATTCGATGGAAAGGGTTTGGGTAACGCTTGCATATGTGTGTGGGGTTGTGGCGAAACAAAAAGGAAACGATTAAAACGGAAGAGGGCCCGGTACACGGATGCCGGGGCGATTTCGACCTCGCAATCAAACACAACCGGAGCTTTTAGTGCGATGTCTCCGGCTTCGGCCACTCACAGAATGGTTGCACCTACAACGTTTGTGTCCTTGCCAGCAGCTCCTACTGTTGTGGCTTCTACGTCACTCAAATCGCTGGTCGCTTCGTCATCGGCAAGCAACGCGCTGCAGACTGCTGTATCAACGACTATTGCCCCAGCGATTGGTAAGCCGCGTGTTGCCACTCCGATCACAACAGTCCCGGGCGTTGCCGCAACGAACACTCCGATTACGACATCGCAGATCACCACTCAGGCGACTGTTGCAGCAATTGCCAGACCCAGTGTTTCCATGCCAGTGGTGGCTGCAACACCGCCGGCACCAATTACGTCGGTGGCTTCTGCCTCAGTGGCTCCGAAACCACGAGGTGACACACCTTGTTCCTCTGTGACAATTACTCCACAAAATGTAATGACTCCACCTTGTCCAGTAGCCGATACATCGTTGGTACTACACAACTGTCGTGTACGTGGTGCTGGGAGTTCTGGTGTGCTCCTCGTGCGTGGGTCACTGGTCATGTCGCTAAACACCGTCGAAGATAATGCACACTCGGGTGTCACTGTTCTGGGTGGACAGGCATTGCTACGGCTAAATAAGATTCAGCGAAATGCTCGGTTTGGCTTGAGATTGCTGTATCACGCCGGAAGTGTGATTATTGAGGACAATGTGGTGTTTGACAATGCCTGCGGGAACCTCGATGTGGACAATTCCGGTCGGCGTTTTGTTGTTCGCATGAATGAAATGGATAAGGGTAAAAAGTCCTCAGAAAGGATGCCGCATTCGCATGGGAAGCTGCGTCTAAAGACTTATTCTGTGGTAGAAAAGGAAGTACCACATACTACGACCCCAGTTGCGAAGCCTGCTACCAGCACCGCCGCTGAATACTGGAAGAAGCAACTGGCCGCTAGCGCCGCAGCTTCGTCAGCGACACCCATGTCAAGTTTGACCGCAACCAAGGCAGACCCTGTCGTTACTGCTAACGGTGCGATGACTGCCGGGATCCCGATGAGTTTTATGCGACCTGTAGTATTTCCTCAAGGGTCTAACCATTTGCGAGTCGCACACCTTCCGATAGGGTTTGCATCGCTGGGTACGGCGATACCATCTATGACACTGAATCGATCTACGACGACGACCGCAGCAAGTGTACAGCGCCTTGCAAGTGCTGATGGAACTTCTGGTATTACAAGCAATGTCCCAGCAAGACCTGAACTTCTGTTCGGAGCCGCAAGCGCACCCACTGCTTTGATACGTGCTACTTCCTGTATTGAGCCTTCGGAGCAACATTGTCGACCTAGAACAAAGCAAGTCGTCGTGGGTGGCCGCGAAATTATTTTGCGAGATACGTGCGAGAAGCCTACCGAGAAGGTTGTGAAGCCACGACGCTCTAAGGACCCCCAGGCGGAAGTATTAGGGTCTGCCAATGTGCAACAGATGACTTCACCGTCCGCACTTCAGGCTAATTTCACCCCTGGTTCGACTGCTGCAGCAGTTGCAGCAGCAATGGGGTCACTGATGGCTAACTCAGCCAAGCTACAAGCGGCTGCCTCGCGATTGCAGCTGGGAATGGGATCATCAGGGAATAATATGTCAGCGAAGCCTCCGATGATCGCACCATCGGCTATTGGTATGAAAGCTGTACCACCAAAGCCGACGGTAGCATGTACGGCACGGACAGCGCAGGCACATGGTGCTGTACCGGCGACTGTAAATTCTGTAGCACCGAAGTCGTTTACGCCGAACGTATCATTGGCGCAGACCAGTGCTACTCCGTCAATCGCGACAAAGTCAGTGGTGGCGATGTCATCGAACGCCGGCGCGATGCCTGCAACGCCGAAGCCAGCAGTTGCTATGGTGCCAATGGCAAAGACAGCAGTGGTTGCACCGTCGACGGCATGTTCAAAACAATCGACACAGTTGAAATGTGGGGAGAAACGAACGATCGACGTTGCCGGAATAGAAGCAAAAGTGGTGGATATAAAGAAGGGAAGGACACTCGGTGGTGGCATTGGTCAGCCGGAAAACAAGTTTAGTAAAACTGAAGAAAGCGGGAGCGGCCTGAAACCATGATGATAGAGACGGTGAACAGGGCGCTCTCGCAACTTATTTATCAATGATCAAACATATCTTTGTTGATGTAACCGAACGAGCACATCGACTAAATATCGCTGGACACGGCCATGGCCGAATCAAACGTTTGGTGACGTCAAGCAATCCATGCACTCGTTGCAGATATCCCCGAGACATGACAGGTTGACCCGACGTCTCATCGCCAATCGACTCTCTCATCTCGAGCGGATCCTTTATTAACTGGACATGCAGCCTCTCGATCCATTCTGGGTCCACCTTGTAGAGGTAGCTAAATCTCATACACTGCAAGCTGTGACGTGCCATCAGGTAAAGAATAATTTATCAAACACCTAAACTTGAGCTTTTGTCAACGTAAACTCTGTGTGCCTCTTCCACATCACACATGAGTAAGTACTGTATGGCCTTGACACTTGACTCGATGGTTTACCACGCGCATGAACTTTACAATGGTCCACGTTATCGCAATGTACGTCATCGCAGTAAATTTATCAGCAAGAGATGTTCTGGAGTCCTCACTAGTTCATTCACATGTCTCGGCCTCAGTGTCAATGCGTCGTGCAGTGTTTTAAACCATTGCAGGCCGACTTATCAGATGCTGTGCAGGCTCACCGCAAGCAGCAACACATCTAGCATACGTGGGCTCCACTTCCCTCCGTCATTCTTTTAGAATACACCGGTACGTATTGATCATACGTCCGTTCAAGAATTTAATGATGCGCTCAGTTCGTCATCCATGGGATGCACGCACACTCACCCACAACCTCGCCCTTAAGCTATGGTCATGTCCACATTGCTATAAAGTCAAAGATTGACCTCGCCCGAGCCCTTGTTGTCGCTTTTCTTGCAGCAAGTCGTGCCTGAATCAACACGACTTCTTTTAGACTACATCTTCCGTGTAGTTGTGTTGTCTTCCCAGTAGAGACGTCCAGGCTGCAGGCATACCCTGATTACTCGCTGCGTCGACGAGAGTTTATTGTGACTTGGCACTTGTCGTCACCAAGGTCGCCAATTGCGTATGACCTTGGCCTCTTACATCCACACGCTCTTTCAACGTGCCCTTCCAAAGCATTCCATAAGGTGCACATTTTTGTAGCTACCATGTCCGTCGTCATTGTCTCCTATGCGATGGATCAACTTGTGATTTACAGAGCTGATCGAATACATCAATCATTTCGATCGCTCTTGCAGCCTAATCACCCGTTTCAAGACGCTTCAGATGATCTCGTAGGTAATGTAAAGATCGGAGAGCTCCGACTAATACACTTCGATGCAGCCTCGTCAACCACGTCCTGTTCACGAAGTCGAGAGCCATACGCTTCAGATCGTCGCAGACAACGCACATGTTCGTGCATACTCTTTACTCCGCACCGTATTTCCCAGCATTTACCGCACTCATGTGTGTTTAATCATCTCGTTGTAGAAAAGATCATTAGCCGATCAGACTGTACAGCGACTTTGCTTCGTTCAACATGAAAGTTTGTCATAGCCGTGACCAATGACAGACTGCTGATGAAACCGAGTAGGTACGTTGTACGGTTGGAATCGCGTGATTAAAACAAGCGGCTGGTTTTGATGAGGAAGGGCATGAAGCTAATAAACACTCGACAAACTGATCGTTAAGAAAGAAGTTTGATCTGCAGGTGCTGCATCTGGCAAGCGCTTTTTGCTTCCTACTTGTCACAAAACTTGGCGGGGCAAAATGTTAAGCGTTGAACAGAATTTTGCCTCCGCCTACCCGATTACGTATCTACTGCTCTGAGATTGTAGCTATTCAATCGCAATCCTGAGTTAGTAGAGCATTAGCATGCGACAACTTCGCAGCTTCTTTGAAACTTTTCGACCGCAACGATGTTAGTATCATGTTAGGTGATGAGGAACACATACATGAGATCTCTCTTGTGTAGTACCTTCATGAATCATCACACGGGATGGATTCAGAAGGCGACAAACGAATACCATTGTCGTGATCCGCGATTTGCAATACTTCTCTAGCAAAGTTAATCCACTCCAGCAAATTGCAATTGGGCTAGTTTGTGAGAATCCAAAGGCTCCTCATCGCCTTTGCGTGACAGCCAGTAGATTTCATTCTCAGAATTGATCGCGCGCTGTTCTTCCCAGTCATCCCATGAGTCTCAGAATGGCTCAAGTTCAGAAGCAGCGCAAGATTTGCGAACAAATCACCTCTTCTACGCACACGGCTACGAGCTACTTCCAACGAATGCACCACTAATAAAAAGGCGCATGGAAACCATCGACCCCAACGAGAAATGCGGTCCTCCCACACGATCTTACGGGAAATTACTTAAAGTCAAAAAGTCCGTCTGACTCGATTGGAACCACACAGATCCTCATCAAAGTACGTAACCGAAGCATATCGTCTTGATCTAGTTGATTTGTTTACGCCAAGTATAGCGTCATATGCGTGGCAGACACACCTCTTTATCCCAATTTAATCAGACATAGCCCACATTTTATCATGTTCCCTTACATGATGCACGGCGAAATACATGAGTGGAAAGCTTTGGTTGGTATTCGCCCACTTTGCTACACTTTTTTTGTGGCTTATCACCGATCGCTGGGAGGATGAGAACGATATGAATCGCTCATACCGTATTATGCACATAGATACTTAACGTTTGTTGCCAAACTGACGTAATTAAAGTGATGGTGTACGCCTAAATTTCATGCTGCAGCAAGTAAGAAAGTGTTTGAGTCGAGGTGCCCTTTTTACGAAAGGATACGTCCGCAATGACGAAAGCCGTAAATAAGGATATCACGCTATTTAAATTAAGCAGCGGACCAAATGAAATCGAAAGTAAATTGACGGTGCACAAAAAGAAAGCTATTTACATTCCCCGCCCTTACTTCCCCCGCCATTCGTAAATATGTACATAAGCCGCAAAGCAGCTGTTTAGAGCCCTCTTTGTATGTCCTTCATGGGGTCCACATCAACCCAGTTGAAAAAGCACTTTATATATGATCATGCTATTCAGTATCGACAAGTTTTAACCGGGAAAACACGGCGGAAAACATCATTCTAAAGTAACATTTTGCCAAAATGGACTTGGACGTCAAATGCCGAGCGTACGGCTCGATACATACATAGGAAAAGCTCGAACAGAGCATCGACCGACAGACAGACATAAAGCCGTACCATAATTTCTCGACCGATCGTTCTACTGTGTCCGTGTTAGCAAATGCGTTGTGTGGCGGTGGTAAAATGAATACAGTTCGTTGCATTAAAATGCTAAACCTGCACCATAAGATTTAGTCGACTTGCCTACCATCCATACCAGAGGTATTGCTGGCCGACCATTCCTTATGTTGCATCAAGTCTCCGATCACGCACACCTACCCGTCCGACGAGAAGCTTTGGTTGTTTTCATAGAAGTTTTCAAATGAATGTAGATGCTGAAAGCGTACCTCATGATCAATAAAAGGCCATCTTCAACAGTCCGTATGCTGTGAAGCAATATCCACGATGAGCCGCACGAACAAAACAAGTCGCTCTTTACACATTCTCAACGACACTTTTTCGTTCATCGCTTTTACGTTCGGACGAATGTATAGTGTATGCAAACCAAATGGAACAGTTTTACCAGGACGGCCAAAAAGACGAGTGCAAGTTCACGTTGACCAACTCGTACTGGTGCTTTCGATCAAGTGTGATGGGTGGAGAAAAGTGACAGCAACTTCTCCAGGGAAACGCCACTGGATGCGATCAAGAGCCCCACGTTGCGGACGCGTGGGGGTCAAAGTAGACGCCTGGCTGGTAGATGGACCTGCCGGGGAACCAATGGACGCTGACATTCCAGATGCTTGTTCACTCACTCACTTGCTCGGCAACTTGCATTTAAGTCCTCGTCTTGTTCCTCGCTTGCGCAGCTCTCCAGTGGACCTATTTAGTGCTGATTTTTGTTACGGCGAGCGATGGGCTTTATCCTGGATCGCATGCACGGCATCTTAAACCATTGTCCTTGCAGATGAGGGCAAACTGGTGCCTAGGCGAGACTAGCATTTTCGGAATAGACGTCCAGCAGAAAAAACATAAGAATAACGACAAGTTTCGTCAAATTGAGGAGAAATGAATTTATTTTTACTCTCATGCATGTGGGAGGATCACGTGCGCTGACTAGCGACACAATGATTTTGGAACTAGTGGGAGCGCCAGAAGTGGTAAAGGAGAGAGAGAGATGACGGTAAGTATAGTGCACGTAGTACATGGCGACTGGGCCACGGACGATTTTGGCGACGCGTTTATGCTGTCAGTTTTGTTGCATTTTACCCTGTCGTTTACGTAGGGCGGGAAAAGAAGGGCGGGGAATGTAATTAGCTTCCGGGGAATGTAAAAAAAAATAGCTTCCACAAAAGTAATCATAAAGTTTACAGAGTACTTGAGCAAATACAAGCTCAAAAAAGGCAGCTCAATTGTGGTGTTCGAAATAGCATTTTGGAACAAAGCGCTTTTCTTCTGTCGAAACAAAGCAAGTGGATTTTCGACCGTGACGTCCGGCGATCACGACGATTTTGACGATCCCTCCTCCGACTCTCAGCTGCTGCTCTTAAACCAGCCACATCTGCATCAACCCTTACGTTGTACCATAAGACAACTCACATCAATGCCAAAAAGGGAGAAGTCGACAAAACGCGTCAAGTATCGGCGACGTATCATCAAGGACAGTCGAAGACGAACGTCTCGAGCTATTTTTGACGTCGACAATGAAAACGAATCACCGGTTCGCACGGTCGGATGCTTGATGTCAAGAAGGGCTCAGCTTTTGGACACAACGGTATCGGATACCGGTATTTCGAGTCAAAATCGGAAACGTGGAGCTGCAACATTTGACAAAGCTGAGACGTTTTGTCGGTCGCTTTCGAGTCAAAATCAACAGATGGTCAAAAAAAGGAAACCGTCAACACGAGCATTTACCGACATACCGACAATGAAAGACAGTAAAAAGCTGGATCTCCCATCTGTCAAAAATGGAGTGGTACAAGATACCGTCTTACCGGACGAAGCAGTATCCAGTCAGAACGTCCTTAATTGTGGACGAATTCTCAAGCCGGTAAGTCATATACAAAATGCCGGTACAGCATCACGAAGACTCCGTTTACCCACAGTCCAGTCGAGCAAACATCCGGACCTTAACGTGATCACTCCAAAAACTGTGGCGAAAGTGATCCAAGGCAAGTACGAGAACCACTTGGCACAAACGTTCCAGCTGCTGGACTGCCGGTTCCCTTATGAGTTTCAAGGTGGAAGCTTGACAGGTGCCAGGTCATTGTGTGACCCGAAAAAAATGGAGATGCAGCTATTTTCGACGGCGACAACAACAACTTTTGACGACTCCAGACGTCCAGTCCTTATTTTTTTCTGTGAGTTCTCGGCCACTCGTGGTCCCAAGATGCTGCGTCATGTACGCAACGTCGACCGCAGCTTACACGTGGACTCGTATCCAGAGCTCTACTATCCCGAGTTGTACCTTATCGAGGGTGGCTACAAGCACTGCTTTGAAACGCTGCGACATGAGCTCTGTGCACCTTTGGCGCTGTACGTGGCGATGGGAGACAAACGGTTTACTGAGATGTGCCGCCACGAATTTGCAGTCTGGAAACGAAGCTGGAAATTGCATCGAACGGTTGCAAAGTGTGTGGAAAAAGTGAAGATGTCGGAAAAGGTCAGCAGCTGTTGTGATCAAGCTCGTTTGACTTTATCTGGCGTCCGCTCGCTGTTTCAAGAGCTGTAAAGGGTAGGGAGGAGCTGCTTTTTCGTGGATAGATGTGCGCGTTGGTAAACCGACGAGGTGACAGGACGGACGCGTCTTGACGCTTATTATGATAGCCTACTTGCTAACGTAGCTCAATGATGTCCAGCGTGTGGGTGATACACCGCGACTCGTAAGCTTCACGCTCGTGACGGCGCTGTGGCTGCGTTGCACTCATTCAATATGGGCGATTCCGTTCGTTATTAGCTACGGCCATAGATCACTTGGTCTTTGCTGGACATTTGTCGGTATTGAAGCGTTTGAGCCTTTACGAATGGTGCAGTCATCGAGGGAAGCGCGGGGCTCCTCGTTCACATCATAGGCGACCGAAGTCTTGCACAGAGTTCTCGACAGATATGTGCTGAAAAAGTCTTTGAAGGATGACAAATCGAGGATCTGATCACTGTCCACAGAGAAAATGGAAAAGTGAATTGGTAGCAAGTCAGATTTGCGACAGCACTGCAACATGAACGTATCTCAGCTGCGCTCACTTCAACTCTTCTTGCTACGATGTTAACATTGGTCCGGAGCACGTACAATATTGTGGGCTGCTATTAGCCTACTTGAGCGGTAGTAGTGTCCATATTCTTTCGATTTGCCTTGTCAAAACGCGACCAAGCAGCAAACAAGTCGTCTCGAGCTGTCTATTCATTGAAAACGGGTAAACATTGACGTGGGGCCGCAATTGTGCCCGACATGTTCAGCTCACCCAGGTCTCGCGGAGTCGTCGAATGTGTTTTCGAAAGCAGATCCTCTTGACGACTGGCATCTAAAATATTGAGTCAAAGGATGCAATGATGCATGGCTTGTAATCGGAGTTCGGTTTGTTGCGCTATGTGTAAGAGAACGAAGATGAAATGGGCTTACATCATCAATAGCTACAGTTCTCTCCTGGGGACACAACGAACGTCCGTCTTCTTCCGTAAACAGATTGGTGTTCACAATTTTGCAACATCACCTTCGGCTTGTGTGGATCTACCGCAGACTCGAGAGATCAGCAGACTTTGATATTGGAGTAGGTCCTGTGCTGCCAGTAATCTGGAGAATGTCGAGTTGATTGACCTCTCAACTCTCGACTGCTGCTCCTGTATGTTCGACGAACTCAAGTTGTTCCATCATGCTGCGTTATTCGAGAATGACGTTATTGCTGCAGCAAGACTGACTTTTAGTTCGACATGCTGCGATTTGTGACGTGGTGTCGTGATGCATCGGTCATAACTACAGCAGATCCAGGATGTTCTGGGTGATCGACACGAGCTGATCGCCGGCATTGCTGGAACCACGCACGGAGTTACAGCAAAAAGGCATCGTGGCACATGAAACGATGTCAGCACGCTTGGCAGATAACGATGTACACTTAGTGGATCGGTACCGCTTTTATCGTTGGGTATTGCCTCTACAGTTGCAGGTGATGGTGGTGATTGCCTGGCCGAACCCTTTCTCCGTTTGAATCTACTATGATCAGGGCTCTAGTCGGAACCAGAGTTTGGCTCACTGCTCATCAAGCTGCTCGTGTCGAAGAAACGCGAGGACCACCCGCAGCAAATATTCGAGTTTACGAAATTGTGATCGCTGGCCATGGTAGTGTAACGTGACTGCAGGAAAAGGCGGCATAATGAGAAGGCTGAATGGAAGCGATTAATATCACCCCAAAGACGACGCCTCACCGGATGCAAATCGAAATACTCACGCGCATTAACAACGGAAACTTTTGCTCAACTGAGAAGGGCATGACGCTATTGTCCGTGCAGTACGTGGCAATGCACAGCCAAGACGCAATGGTGTACCAAAGCTCAAGCATCACCAGCAAAGTTATAACATATCAAATGAAGTACGTCTCGACGCCACTCACGTCCTCGAGCTCAACTTAGTCCCACTCGCCCCAATCCTCTCCACGCTTGCCGGTATCCTCGTGTGTTGCAGGAACCGCCTCGGGAACCTTGTCACCCAATGCGTCGACTGTGGTCTCCTCTGTCACGGCCAGATCATCGTCATCACCCCAGTCGAGTGCGTCCTCCGCAGCTGCTGCTTCTTCCCCCACGTCCGGCTTCAAGTCAGCAAGCACACCGTTCGGGTCTTTGAGGTGCGATGACGCACCCGACGACGACGACTCCTTCCGCTCGTTCAGCTCAATCCAGCTTTCCCCATCGCTGGATGACGTCGGACCATTCGTGCCACTGCCAGGCGGCACCGTCTCCTCTTCTTCTTTCGACTCGTCATCGAGGAAAATTGGCTTACCATCGTCATCCTTGGCTTTCGGCGAGTCGGCGTCCCAGCCAATCTCCTCCTCCTCCTCATTCAAAGCTGTAGAGACGTACAACCACATCACACCACAAAATCAACAGGACGTGATCAATTAGCACGCATAAAGTACCAGTACCGCATCTCTCCAATCCCATGCGCACCTTGTGCCAGCAAATCTGCTCCGCGCATCTCCTGTGCAGCCAGCAGCGATGCCTTGTAGATGTAGTGAGTCCAGAACACATCTGCGTCGACCGCAGACGGGACCAGCTCCGTGACCTTGTGACCTACCGTCGGGTAATTGTCCAGCACGTCCTTTTGTACCTCGGCCAGAGCCTCAGCAGATATCCCACTTTTCCACTTTTCAAAAGCTTCAACATCCAGCGGTGACTCCATGTACGTCTTCTCATCTTCTTGAAGTGCCAGCAGGCGGAATCTTCGGGCTGCCAACGCACTCGCACCCAGTTCTTGCTCGTCTTCGTACGGCGCTTCTCCAGCCAAAGAGCCGAGAAACTCATCGGCCGAGTTCAGTAGCTTCGATCCCATCGCCTCGAGCGATTCCAAGCTACCACCAACCGTCAAAGAGGTCAATTTACTGCTTACTAACGTAAGGGAGCCTTGTACTGAATTAAGTGAATCCTGCACCGAGCTGCCCACTGCATTCAGTGGCCGAAAAGAAAAAAACGAACTTTTCAGCGACGTTCTCGGGTCCACGTCCTGCTCGATTGTACCACTTTGTGTACCACCACCGCCACCCTCTTCGTCTTTTTCTTCTTCTTCTTCTTGTTTTTGCTCGTCCTTGTCTTGGTCGTTTATCTTGGTTTCACTATGGTCCTCGGACTCGCTGTGCTCTTCACTTGACCGGTCCTCGTGCCTGTTTGGTCGCATTTGTTTCGACAGCTCCGCCACGTCTTCCTGGACGATCGACTTGAACTCTTGCAGGTCAGAGCTCAAGGTCGTCATGGCCTCGGCCGACTTGTCCTTGATCGCATTCACGACGGAGTAGAAGCTACTGAACGACATGCTCGAATGCAGCAGCAGCAGCAGTTCTAGTAGTAGCAAGAAAAGAGAGACGACGAAAAAAGACGTTTTTGTGCCACCTCTTCTTTACATCAACATCGAAATAAAAAAAGACGCGACAGCATCGACCTCCGCTCAGTCCCGTAATTTATCGATCTTTCTTCGTATTTTACGCATCAAATGCGACACTCTCGTTGGAACAGCTCGTCCGAGCCACACACACACACACACCAGCTCGCTACCGACTCGAGCTCCTCACTTTTGAATTCACGAGCAGCTCCGTCATGACTGGAAGCCTGGCGATCCGCAAGCCTGCGCCCGAGTTCACGGCCGACGCTGTCGTCGATGGCGAGTTCAAGAAGATCTCGCTGTCCGACTACAGAGGTAAGTACGTGGTGCTTTTCTTCTACCCCATGGACTTTACGTTCGTGTGCCCGACCGAGATCTGCGCGTTCAGCGACCGCGTCGAGGACTTTGAGCAGCTCAACACGCAGGTGATTGGCGCGTCGGTTGACTCGAAGTTTTCGCACTTAGCGTGGATCAACACGCCTCGCAAGAAGGGCGGGTTAGGGGCGATGAACATCCCACTCGTGGCCGACGTGACAAAAGAGCTGTGTACCAAGTACCACGTGACGGTCGAGGACGGGGATGAAGTGGGCGTGGCGTTCCGCGGTCTGTTTATTATTGACAAGGAGGGCATTCTGCGTCAAATCACGGTCAACGATCTTCCCATTGGCCGCAACGTGGACGAGGTGCTGCGACTTGTGGAAGCGCTGCAGTTCCACGAGGAGCACGGCGACGTGTGTCCTGCCAATTGGAAGAAGGGCAGCAAGGCCATGACTGCAAGTCCGAAGGAGTCGCTGCAGTACTTTGAGTCGCTTGAAGAGCCCTCGAGGAAGCGTAAAGTTGCGGCGTGAAGTTGAGGGGAACTGAAGTAGCTTGACGTAGCAAAAGTAAGCGGAATCAACTTGAGCCATTCATGGCATACTTGCCGTCTGTTTCGACTTGTTGACTCTGATGGGTTTGTACCGTGGTGTACCACTTGCCCGCTTATCCAGTATTACAGGTCGAGAAGTGGCACGATTGTATACGTATACAGTCAGTGGGTACGACTCTAAAGTAACAACTTCACACTTCACCACGACGCGGCAAGCCAATCCGCACTGATGGTCGCTGGAAATCAATCGAATGGCAAAAGCAACGCGCGCAATCCGTACAGTCGCGGCGGTGGCTCCGCCTGGGCGCGCAACTCGCAAGGCGCACGCGCTAACGCCGTTCGCTCACGTCCTGGCCGCGGCATGACGGAGGCTAAAGCATACGCGCTGAAGAAAGGCGACGAGCTGGACAGCAAATTTGGCTTCAAGTTGCTGCCCGAGTTGCTCGAACAAGAAAAGGAAACGCTAAAGGAAACATCAACCAGCAACATTTCCGTTTCCTCTTCTATATCAGATTCCGGTGACCGCGCCAAGCTCGGCTGGCTCTTGAACCTACGCGCCTGTACACTCGCAGATCCTCTCGACGGCAAGCGCGAAGTCAGTGGCCTCGAGCTGTACTTTCTCGAGCAAGACGGCAAGGCGTTCAAGACGCGGATCGTCTATGCGCCATATTTCTACGTCCGACCGGAAACCAACCGGTCGCAAGAAGTCCTTGCGTACTGTCTCAGACGCTTTGACGGGCTCGTCAGTAAAGCCGAGCGCGTGTTTCGAGCCGATCTGGACCTGCCGGACCATCTCCATGGCCACAAAAAGGCGCTCTACGTCAAGCTCAGCTTTGCAACCGTCACGGGCTTGATGATGGTCAAGCGCGACCTCGCGCCGCTCATTGCAAGGAATCAGGAGCGACTGCACGCGCGTCAGGCGTACGAGCTGCAGGGCCGACAGACGAAAGAGCACGTGACCGAAGACGATCTGGCGTTCTTTGGCGCAGACGGGACTGGTGCAGCCACTGGCACTTCCACAGCTGCAGCGGATGAGAGCGAGAGTTCGTTGCTGGAGTTGCGCGAGTACGACGTCCCGTACGCGATGAGAGCGGCTATTGATCTGGACATTCGCGTCGGTGCGTGGTACCTCGTGGATTACGACCCAACGGCGCCTTACGCGCCTTCCGATGTGAAGCGCCAGAAGGAGATGGTGGAGAAAGCGGAGCCTGTGGTTTGTGCCTTTGATATCGAGTGTACGAAAGCGCCGTTGAAGTTCCCAGACGCGCAAGTGGACCAGATCTATATGATTTCGTACATGATTGACAGACAGGGCTATTTGATTGTCAACCGCGAGTTTGTGTCGGAAGAGATCCAGGATTTCGAGTACACACCGAAAGAGGCGTACCCTGGCCCTTTTATGGTCTTTAACGAAGAGAACGAGGAGCAGTTACTCAAGCGGTTCTTTGAACACGTGATCGAAGAGCAACCGCATATTTTTGTGACGTACAACGGCGACTTTTTTGACTGGCCGTTCATTGACGCGCGGGCACAAGTGCATGGGATCAATATGGCGCAGGAAATTGGCGTTTCGCTCGATGAGCGGAGCGGAGAGTACCGTGGACGTTGCAGTGTGCACATGGACGCGTTTTGCTGGGTGAAACGCGATTCGTACTTGCCACAGGGGAGTCAGGGCTTGAAAGCCGTTACGAAGTATAAGCTGGGGTACGACCCAGTGGAGGTAGACGCAGAAGATATGGTCGCTTTGGCCCGTGACGAGCCGCTGAAGATGGCGTCGTATTCGGTCTCTGATGCTGTTGCAACTTTCTACCTTTACGATAAGTACGTGCATCTATTCGTGTTCTCCCTGTGTACAATCATTCCTCTGGGATCCGAAGATGTACTGCGAAAAGGGTCTGGAACCCTCTGTGAAGCGCTGCTCATGGTTGAAGCTTTTCAAGGCAACATCATTTGTCCGAACAAGCAGAGCTCGGCTACTGAAGAGAAGTTCTACAAGGGACACCTTGTAGAGAGCGAAACGTACGTTGGTGGTCATGTGGAGTGTCTAGAATCAGGTGTGTTTCGTGCAGACTTCTTGTACGATTTTCAACTGGAACCTAGTGCATTTCAGCAATTGATCGACAATATTGATCGTGACCTCCGGTTTTCACTGGAGATCGAAATGAATGTCTCGCTTGACCGTGTTGCCAATTATGAAGAGGTTCGAAAGAATATTGTAGATTGTCTCGTTGCACTCCGCGAGCGACCGAATCGGAAGGAACAGCCGCTGATCTATCATTTGGATGTAGCAGCTATGTACCCAAACATTATCCTTACGAATCGGTTGCAACCATGTGCAATCGTAAATGAGGCGGACTGTGCAGCGTGTGCGTACAATACTGAGTGCGGTCGTGCTGCCGTTAAGGATAAGAGCTTATCTTGTCAGCGTGAAATGGACTGGGTATGGCGGGGTGATTTTTACCCTGCTACCCGACCTGAATACTATTCAATCAAAACGCAAATCGAATACGAAAACTTCCCTCTCGATAAAAAGGCAGGTACGGTCAACAGAGGTACAGCAGGCAGACCTAATGTTGCTGAAAGTACGGTGCCTTTTGCTCAGCTTCCTGTTGACAAGCAAGAACTGCTATTGAAACAACGATTCAAGTCCTATTGTTCCAGTGTGTACAAGAAAACCAAGGTGACGGAAGAACAAAAGCGATCTGCGACTGTCTGCATGCGCGAAAATCCGTTCTATGTGAATACCGTGCGTGCATTTCGAGACCGTCGCTACGAGTACAAGGGACTCACAAAGGTCTGGAAAAACAAAGTGTCTGAAGCTGCCGATGCGAATGACCTCCTGGCCAAGATCGATGCTCAAAACAAGTGCCTTGTGTACGACTCCCTTCAACTGGCGCATAAGTGTATTCTAAACTCATTTTACGGCTATGTCATGCGCAAGGGCGCGCGGTGGCACTCTATGGAGATGGCCGGTATCGTGACGCACACAGGCTCGAATATCATTACTGGTGCCCGTGAGCTGGTGGACCGAATCGGGCGCCCCTTGGAGCTTGACACCGATGGTATTTGGGCCATCCTACCGAAGTCATTTCCCGAAACTTTTGTATTTAAGCTTATGAATGGCGGCTCTAAGAGCATCTCGTATCCATGTGTAATGTTGAATGCTGACGTGCACGCCAAGTTTACGAACCCGCAATATCACGAGCTTGACCCGGCTACAGGAGAGTACAACACGCACAAGGAGTGTTCCATTACTTTCGAAGTGGACGGCCCGTACAAAGCAATGGTTATCCCTGCTTCTACAGAAGAGGGGCGACTACTGAAAAAGCGTTATGCAGTATTTAACTTTGACCATTCTCTTGCTGAACTCAAGGGCTTTGAGCTGAAGCGACGTGGTGAGCTACAGCTGATCAAGGCGTTTCAGTCGCAGGTATTTGAGTGCTTTCTTGACGGCGATAGCCTGGAAGAGTGCTACGCTTCCGTCGCCAAGTGTGCGAATCGTTGGCTTGATGTGATTGACACTCGAGGCAAATCGATGGATGATGGTGAGTTGCTAGCTTTAATTACTGAAAATAAAAGCATGTCCGGCAAGCTGGATGAGTACGAAGGACAGAAGTCTACATCGATTACCACAGCTCGGCGGCTAGGTGAATTTTTGGGCGACGAGATGGTCAAAGATAAGGGTCTAAATTGTAAAATGATTATTGCTGCACGTCCGTATGGTGAAAAGGTGACAGAGCGTGCTATCCCCACCGCCATCTTCGCTACGGAAGACGCAGTGAGGCGGCATTTCCTGAGAAAATGGTTGAAAGATCCCCAGTTGCAAGATTTTGATATTCGCTCGATCCTTGACTGGGACTACTATCGTACGCGTTTCGCATCGACGGTGCAGAAGATTATTTCGCTTCCAGCTGCTTTTCAGAATGTCAGGAACCCAGTGCCTCGCATCGAGCTGCCAGACTGGATGCGAAAACAGGTTCGCGAGAAGAATGCCAAGCATCAGCAGGGCAACATGAAGCAGTTCTTCAAAGCTGCAGTTAGAGACACTGACAACGGGGACTGTGTTGCCCGGTTAATTGATATGGAGGATATAGAGAGAACGAACATACCTAATCGATCAAGGAGACCATTCCCGCTACAGCGGAAGAAGAAGAGAAGTGACCGCGACGACAGCAGTATCAGTCCGATTAGAGAAATCGATATCGACGGTGCGGAAGGCGTAGCTGTGGTGCCAGTAAAGCTGGGAGAAGTGCCATTTACAAGTTGGCTGAAGAACAGGAAGATTATGTGGAAGACCATGCTTGGGAAGCGGAGACGAGAGCGAGAAGAACGCATGCGGATGTTAGGCGGTGCCGAGGGGTATGGCGTGTTGAACGGTATTCGTGGGAGCACCAAACGTTTCCAGAGTGAAGCCACAAATGCTCGCGCAGCAAAGGGCAATGGCGTAGGTATGGAAAACTTCGTCGTTAATGCAACAAGTGCGCTACAGCGAGAGTATTGGCAAATTGTCGAGATCCAGCAAGAGCAAGGCGGAATGTTCACTTGCTGGGTTTTAACCGCGCATTCGCAGATGCTTCAGCGCATTACGCTAAAAATGCCTCACGTCTTTTACATCACGTGCAAAGAGGCAGACAACGAATACTTGCTGTCTTTGCTGCCGGGTTCGAGACGCGTATCTCGAATCGTACCTCATTATGTATCCAAGCCTCAATCGGTTTTGGAGGTGACACTGAGCGAGCGACAGTATCAACAGTATCAGAAGGAGATTGGCCAGATTCTTGGCGATCCGCATGTAGACGGTGTGTACGAGCTACAAGTGTCGACTTTGACGCGGGCCGTTTGTGCGCTGGGCTGCGTAGCTAAGGTTGTTAACCCGCATTTATTGTCCGACAACAACCAAGAGTACGAGCTTGGTGACCTGCAGTTCCAATCTACGACTCAGGCGCCTTATCTCCTGGATCTTCAGTGCTCATTCGGCACAGATGGGGAGGCATCATCGCCGCCAACCTCGCTGATGCGACGAGTGCTACTATACTTCGCTCAGCAGAAAAAACGCGCTATCTTGGGTTTAGTCGTGCTGAAAGAGGGCGATGATAATGTTAAAGCACGGGCCATAGAGAATGGCGTCAGCGAGGGCGACGCAATCGTTTGGTACGTCGACCCGTTTTCCAATGTTAAGTCTCAGGGCTCAAATCTGAACCGCTTCTTTGATCAATTACTCCGGGAGTCTCAAAAAGAAGGTGACGCTGCCACTATCCGGAGCTGTTCCTTCAAGACACACGTTGTGAAGACTGCGCAAGAAGCCTTTTCGGGTGTGAACACCGCCCTTGCACGGCTGGCCTCAAACAAACAGCGTGCTCCTAAGCCGACAATCGTAGTGGTGCAGACCTGCATTTCGTCAAGCAAGCGACTACGTGAAAAAATGCAGGGTCTTCACAGCTTTCCCATTGCTATACTTCCCTGGAACAAAGAAGACACGTTATTCCCTGCCCTCACGTGGCGGAAGCTGATGGGGGAAAAGATGATTACCCGGTGTTTTGAAATGACACAATACTTCATGGATGTGCTAGATTGTGCACGGTACGCACATTTACCTGTGGGCAACTTTACTGGTGACCACTCAATCGCTATTTTAGACACGTTGTACTCTCGTATCTTGACTAAGCACAAGCATTTGTGGTGGCACTCGTCAACGTCGTTGCCAGATCTTGGTGGCAAGGAGCAGGAGCAACAATTTCAGCAACTTTTCAGTCAATCCCTGCTTGGTTCATCCTCAACGAGCAACGATGCAGTTTTTCGACACCAAGTCGATACATCTGCTGTCGTATGCGAGAAGGGATCATTCGTCGATGTTTGCGTCGAGCTCGAATTAGATGGTCTTGCTGTCAATGCGATTCTCGTCGCGTCTCAGATTCACAGCATCGAAGGCTTGGGAGTTGCACATCAGATGGAGATTGATTTTGACGGCAACGGTGAGGGAGAATCTACCAAGGCAGAAGGTCTCACCCCCGCCGTAGCGGAAGGTGATGCCGAGCAGAACTGTCACGAAGCGTTTCGCCTCCTCCGTGCTATGGTAATAACGCTTTTTAAGGACTTCTTGGCCACCCGCAACAAGTTCGCTGATCACGTGCTGCAGCAGTTCTACCGCTGGTTGTGCTCGCCAAACTCTCTGAGCTACGACCCCGCGCTACACGCAATGGTGAAGCGTCTTATGGAAAAATTGTACTTACAGCTTCTTGCAGAGTTCCGTCGCCTGGGATCACAAATCGTCTATGCTGACTTCAGCAAGATCATCATATGCACTAAGAAAAAGTCGGTGCGTGACGCGCAGATCTCCCTTAATTTTATCTTGCAGACCGTGCTGTCCAACGAGCTGTTCCAGGTGCTCCATTTTACGACAAAGAAGTATTTCTCGAATTTGTTATTTATGGATGCGGAAAATTACGGTTGCATTCTGCTAAAAAAGGTGGGACTAGAAGGCATCCAAGAGGAGGAGAGTGATCATAATATGGATAGCAGTGACGACAAACCCTTGGAGATCGTTTCTCATTGGAACATCGCAAATTATTTGCCTCGCGGTGTCGACGAGTACTTCCTCATCTTGGTAGGTCAGTTTATTCGTCGACGAGCAGAGTTTCAACAGCGCGAACATCAACGGATTGCAAACGGAGACGACGCCAAGCATGACGCTACCGACGATGTCGATGAGCAGCTTGTTGATGAGGACGAGAAGCAGTGTAGTCCGCTAGCCAAGTACTCACAACGGCTGATATCGTCGTATTTTTCGGACAAGTTGCTGCGTTTAGTTCCGGAAATTTTAACGTACAACATGGATCGAGACAGCTTTCCAGTGTTTGCTGGATCACATCTGCGAATGGAATCACCCGCGTTTGAGCTAGTGAAGTTCGTGACTTCCGTGTTTCTGCTAGAACCGAGCATCGAAGCTCAAGTTGGCAAGATGAGACGCACCCTGCTGAAATTGCTACGTAAGAGCGAGTTTACCGATGAGTCTCAATTTCGCAACCCGTCGCTATCGTTCACGGTACAGGATGTCATCTGTCTGTGTTGCAACCTGTGCCGATCGATTGATCTGTGCCGTGACCCGCAGCTTTTCAAAAGTAGTGGGTCGCACCCGGACGAAGATGACGCAGATCTGGAAAATAAAGACGATTCAGATACTTCCTTTGCATGGCACTGCCCTCGATGCTTTGCGTTGTACGACAAGACCGCATTCGAAATGCGACTAGTGGAGACGGTGCAAGCTCAGTCAGTGGCGTACCAACTTCAGGACTTGTACTGTCGCAAATGTCGTTTGCCAGCTGAGCACAAAATGCGCGAGTACTGCCCGTGTTCAGGGACGTACGCATTGATGCCTGGGGTGCGTGAATCGTTGTTGGAGACGTTGCGTCTGCTGCACCGCGTCGCACAACAACATAACTTCGAGTGGCTTTTAGAGACTGTTCAGCGCCTGGAGCGTGAAGTTGCGCAGCCAAGCCGGTAATAAATAGCAACATTACGTGAGCTTGAGCGATATTGTCTTGGTCATTCGGATTTGCTGGGCTTACAGCAGACAGCTAACGCATGGATCCAGATGTGCCTATTTGTTGTGCAAAATGCTGCACAGACATTTGTGACGGTTGCTCTGCCAATTAATACGAAATTTCTTCATTGGTCGTGGTTCTCAGGTTATTGTGGACAATTTTGGCGTGCGGTACGAATCCGTTTCGATGGTGGACAGCTCACCTCGTCGCCTCGCGCAGTACGCTCCACTAAAGACTGCTCCTACTGCTTATGACAAAAGAGCATGAGTTGCCAGCGCGATGATTGGAAGTATGCGTGACAACGTGGTGTGTCGGTGCAGATGCATTGTCCGAGTGGGATTGAGACACTGGAAGCCCAGGCTTAGCAGCAATTGACTCGAACATCGGGCTGGAAAGGTATCAGCTCCGTCATCGGTCTACGTTTCTAACTTTACCAGATGATCGCAGGCATGAAAGAGAGATCGCGTTGGGGATTTGAATGACATCTCACGGGAAACCAACCACGCATTCAAGCCATCACACTTGGGTTGATCGAGTGTCCACCACTTGGCACATACTCAGTATTGTCACTGCTCGTGGGTACGATCTATACTGCTAGTGTCGCGAATGACATCGTGCTGGCCAACCACTCGGTCGTGTACGCTCCGTGAACCTCTGATGTTGTCGGTGAGCTTGTGTTTGGCTATGCACAACTGGGTAGTAGCGCAATAATCACTCAGAAGTCTGTGTGGTAGCGAACTCATGCAAAAGCCACTTGCGGTAGCTTGCACTGAGTCTCTTCAAAACGCACAGAAAACGAGTTGGTAGCATTGGCATCTAGCTTTGAGCCCTGCGAGTACTTTCGCGAGTGTCAAGTTATGCTGATCATGATGTCTTTCGGCTCCACAAGAATTATCGGACCATGATAAACTAGTTGGGGCTGCGGTTCCGATCTTCTGTTTTTGGTAAATAAGTAACCTCGAAGACCGCCTTGTGTGAGGATGCAAAATTCCTTCGCATAATGTGGTGTAACCGTTGTACATGTGTATAATTGAAAATGGTTTTGATAATCGGCCAAACTATGTGACAAGCGATCAAGCTCTGCACCTTGTATTTGTTCGGAAGCTTGTCTAGGCTCCCAATGATACCCAGTGTTCTTGAGCATAATGTATTTCTAGTCGCGCAACATCCAATGTGCTCATGAGAGACGTCCAACGAAGAACACCTCGAATCATACTAAAATTCGACACTTCCTTCGGACACCATCGATCGCGTTTTACAATCGTGCAGCGTCTTGCACTCACAATACACTCACGAGAGATCCCGAGTCGAATAAGAAGGTTCCTTTGTGTAAACCCCAGCTTCTTGAAATGCACAATCGAATTGTCACGTAAATCAAGAAGACTGGCTACGAGATCACTTCAATCCACCTATTTTTGCTCTCTACGTGAGGTCATGACAGATTAGATCGAGCAAGTACAAATAATGCTGTTGCGTGCATCAACCAAGACACACTATGGACTATCAGCTGCAAGATCGCAAATATCAACAGCCGAAATGTCGGCTCATTTCTAATTCTTTTACTGATCAATCTAACAGCGGCAAATTTTGTACAAAACGTCACGAGCTATTCTAATTTTCCTTGTTCCGGCTGCTGTACCTTATCGACCATGACGAAAGTAACTCCTGGAATGCGACGAGCCAAGCACGCTTATGCACAACATCGTTCGATCTATCATCCAGACAAACAGACGAAAAAACCGACAGCATTTCTCATGTTTTCGCCATGACCATCGATTCAGCGTAAATTTGCTATCGACAAGAGAAGTTTCGTCTCTATTGTCCATTCGTATGGATGCATTGTATCGCTCGTTCGGCTTTTTCATCTAGTGGAATAAGTCTTGACTAGCACGCAATTCTATCGTAATGGGTGGATTACACTGACACAAGTCATGCTCGAGTTTGTAAGGCCGCTGTATCTTGTTGCCAAGGGTCACTCTCAACATGTTCGCTACGATTTCTAGCAGTAGGATGTCGATGGTACCACACCGCGATGTCTTCAAATTCGCAGAAAGCGTTAGCCTTGTCTATAGGTATTGACGGCATAACTAAAGTAAGTGTCTCAAGTCTGGACGAGGTGTGAACCAGTTGTAAGCTAAAGCCTCGAGATGAGTATTTTGTGTACGACATTACAACAAGGTTGGACATCGATAACGTGCAGCCTACAAGTCCAGAGCGCCACAACCAGGCGTATCTTGCTATCCAACTATTTATCCGGAACAGCTTGATGTCTAGATCATACCCCATATGTATCCATGACCACCTGATCAATCACCTTTCATCAAGGTTCCTGTACAGCACTATTCAATCCTTGGCTTGGGCAACTTTGCATTTCATATTCCAAATGATTTGGAGGCTTCGATCGGGCACTGGCCTCACTCACCCAGATGCAAGTAGCTTCAATGGTTGCCAATCCGTTTGCCCCCTCAACTCGCGACGAGGTCTTTTCTTTTGTTAATATCAACAGCTCCTGACTGTAAGCGTGCGCTTTCTTACTTAATAGCCACACGGCGTGGTCGTTGGTAGCCTCTAGATGTGATAAATTTCTAGTGACCATTGAAAAAATAGCAGCAACAGCTACGGTTTAACTATTATTTGGTTCGATCCCTCCAACCTTGGGTCTTTTATCCATACTACTGAGCAATTTAGTAGGTTCGACGTCAATGAAGAAGATTTTCAGGAAACGTTGGGATCATAAGTGTTTCCGACAACCAGCTTGCCCGTTTGTATAAGTGGAAATACCACAACGGTTCGAGGATTTCAGTGTAAGAAGTTCATCGTCATCGAATTTTGTGATAACGTCTCCGGGATTCTCAGAATCAATTGCGCTTACCGCAGAAAGTCAAGGTATCGGTTGAGCTGTCGGGCATGCGATACTGTTTTTCACATCGACGATATTGTACGGCCCAGAGCATTTTTTTCTGCGCCTTTTCACGCGCGCTACCTGAGGTGCCTCACCAGCGGCACCTAAGAATAACGATCATTGGGCGCATTTTACGCGAAAGCTTCAGCGAACAGCAATACGATGCAGTGGTGAGTCTTCACGTTGCGTCCAATGATTCGTTGTGTATGCAGTGATTTAAGAACATCATTTCTGGGTTTTTTCTTACAACAATTTGTTGCATTCGTGCGCAAAACTCGTTGATTGATATCCGTAGTGCGGCTTCGTCAGAGTGGTGCGGTAAATTTGTTGACTCAAGCACTTTTGCTGACCCAAAGTGCAACTGCATGGTTTCTCATCAACTTTTTCACACTCAGCTGTAGTTGATAGCTGCAATGTAGTCACACACCCCTGCTATATCGTCACGGTGGATTTGCCTGCAACAAGAGGCAATGGAACTACTTGCAAGTATCAAATTGGCACTCATTGATCCAGTGCTGTTTCGGACCTCAAAATAAATTGGTTGATAGTCATCGTGCTCAAATGGCGAGTCACTGTCTTTTCATTCCGCAACTCGGTACATACTTAGTACGAGCGATATTACCGACGAATTTTCATCATCATCAATACCTGCAACAAGCGACGTCTTTTAGTAGTGGTCGTGCGTTTTGTAGTGCTCTAGGAAGAATACGGGTCCAGCTGCAGTCTATTTTTGATGCACTTACAAAGAAAATTGGACAACGTCTTCATCTCACGACAAGTACCTACATAACTCAACAGCCACCCAAGCTTCGTTTTCAATTAGTCAACTGATACAAGTGACCCACAAGTACAACCACAGCAAACGACAGCACGGCAAGTAGTCAAAAGTCTATCCCTTACAAAAGCTTCCTCACTGGGGTTGGCAATACAATCCCCATACCACTCGGCACTTCCAAAGCTTCTGACAGTGCCAAACCTCCATGACATTGGAATACACTAAGCTCAACCACGTGTGCATGTAACAATGTCCAACCCGACTCCTTCATCAAAAATTGCGCACAGCGCTTCAGCTTTGCGCCAAAAAACCAAAATCAGGCTACAAGCTACCACGTCTACAGATAAAAGCTGTGCCTACCGACCTCATACTTGGAATGCCCACTCACAGCACGCTGATATTGTCCCGAGGGGTGCTGAAACCGGCCATAACGCCATGGGCACCAGCCGAAAGCGGGGTCTTCGCCTCAAGTTCGTCCAGCTCGGCCTTCTTCTTCCGCACAACCACAATAGCAGCAGCAGCCACCAAGCCCACAAAACCCCCAACAGACAACACGACGTACGGCGTGCTGTTCGTACTGCTCTCCACCGACTTGTTATTCACCTGCTGCACCTTCTCTACCACTCCAGTTGCAGCGACAGGTGCAGAAGGCTCCCCCCCAGTCTGCTGCTTCTCGGTGGTCACCGCTGGCTGCTGCGGCGTCCCTTCTGTCGTCAACTTCTGCAAGGAAGAGCTTCCTGCGATCCCAGACTTCTGCTGCGGTACATTTTCATAGCCGCTTTTGCGCAACTTGTTGCCACCAGCTGGAGCACTCGAATCAGAGGTCTTGGCCACCTGCTCAGTACTCTTCTGATCCTCCTCCTTCGTCTCCTCCTTTTCTTCCTGCTTCTCTTCCTGCTTCTCCGGCTCCACCTGCTCCTCTTGCTTCTCCGGCTCCTCTTGCTTCTCCGGCTCCTCTTGCTTCTCCGGCTCCTCTTGCTCGGGTGATTCACCAGCATCAACAATTGGCGTCGTCTGTTCCGCCGAAGGGGTCGTAGGGGGCAAAAGCACCTGAATCGGTGTCGGTAGTGGCGTCGGAGGATCCGTTGGAGCTGGCGGCGGAGCTTCCGTCAGTGCCGGCGCTGGAGCCATTGGAGGCGACACCGGAGGTGGCACGTTTTTTTTTCCAGAGCCACCAGGACAGAACGTCAAGTCAAAGTCCGTGCTTAAAGGACAGCAGTGAGTTTTCCCATCGTCCTTAGGAAACTGATATGCTTGAGGGCATCCATCGACCATGCACGTGAGTTCAATACAGCGATCGCCGTCTGGTGTGTGAGGCGTGATCTGGATCGGGACGTTGAAGCCCACGCCACCGGTATACTCCTTGCAATGATCAAGGCTCGTACACAAGTCAGGCTACAGATCGACAAACACAACCACAAAGAGAGAGAGAGAAATAATCACACAAACAATACCATAACGTTAGTTTTTCTCACATTTGTACAATAGAGAGTTCATCAATGCATGAAAAACCAACAACAAAGACAAAGCCAACGTACGCCACTCTTCTCGCTGGTGGGGATAATGCTGATATCGACCCAACATTTGCCTCCTTGAGTCGAGAATTCCGCCACTAAATTTCATTATCGAACCAATACAATAAAGACAAGAAACAAACCAAAAGAATGACAAAAATACCAACAACACAGTTAGCGTCAGCGGTTTTGTCCTAGTATTCAAAGACACGAAAGCACGAGCAAAAAAGACGTTTGACTGGACAAAATCAAGGTGAAAAATACCATACACACGTACAAGTAGCTTGGGCACCGATGCCCGACTTGAACACGTGGGAGCCAGTGCCGATGGGCATCACCTTTGTAATGGACCCCCCCGCGGAAAGTTCGTCCGTCGACACGCCGCCGGGCGTAACATGCGCCAATATCATACTCTCTTCGCAATTGTTGGTCACGTAAACATTGATGCCCTGCGTTACACTGTGAAGCAGCGCAAAGCTCATGACGGCACGTGGTAGTGTCGGCATATTAGAGACCAAAGTGGTGCAAGCAGTCGCTAATCAGTACGTTTGCAAGTCTCGTCACCGAGATGCAAGAGCGTGTAGGAGAATTCCAAAATGGACAACGCTAAGCTCTCTCTATTTCTCTCTCTCTCTCTCTTTTTCGACCAGTCTATCGTGACGGTCTCTCCCCACGAAGGAACAACCTGCAGGATGCCATCTCCAGCTGGTGACCAGAGAGTCAGAACGTTTTCCAGACCTTTTGATAGCTCCGATACATAGTTTAAAGTGTTTTCCCCTCTGTTTCCTGAGCCACCGATCGAAGCGGGGATTGTTGACTGGAAAGCGTAGAGGCGGAGTCTATAAGCGTTACTGCTGTAACAAAGAAGTTGAGATACGCAAGTCTACTGTAGTAACGCCATCTGGCACGTGTCAGACGTGGTAGAGCGTATAGAGCAATTTCGACCAAAGCCACGAACAGATAGCGATTTTTGTATCGACACTTAACAACAAGAGAGCGTAAAGTACCTACTGTGTGATGCTGGCGCAAGCTCCAGGACATTGGCACGCTCTGGTCATCGTTCGGTATGTTGAAACAACTGCCGTTTGTAGAAGGGTCATTTCGACGACGCGTTATGTTTGGGTGAAACAACCGTCTCCCACCGGCGAAAACGTCAGTTAAAAGCTATCAGAGCCGTTAAAACGTATACGACCGTCCCCACCATATGAGTTCGCGGCGACGGTGGTTGGTAATCTATACAGACGCTGAATGGTGGTTCAAGCGCTCTATGAGGAGTTTTATCAGGATACATAAAGTCGAAGCATAGCAACTTCCAGAAATAAGTCGCAGAAGCTGCAGTGGCAGCTGTGCTGTTCAGCTTCTGAGAACAGCCAAACGGTTGTCCTTGGGGTGGTTTTTGGTGAACACAAAGCGGAGGAAAACGGATCGTCTCCACCTGCACTGACAACAACAGTATTCGGGCGCAGTGTAACGCATATCGCTGCAATTCATTTAAGGCGCAGCTTTTGCGTGTGTCGCTGCAGGACTCGTCGACAAGTCGCGGCGTTCAGGTTGTGCAACGCTGAATCAAGACAGCAGTAGTACGTGCTTTAGCAGCAAATAGGGTAGTAGAAAGCCTTCAAGGATGGGGAGTGCGATGGACAATACATCGCGCCATCCCGTCATAAGAGGGTTAGAAACCTGTCGTCACGCCGTCGCGTTCGGTAGCATTTGTCCTCTTTCGTGTAGGGCTCAATGGACACTGTAGACGATGCTTATACCTATGTGCTGTCCGTTACTAACTGTAGGTTCCAGGCCCCGATCGGTTCTCGAATTGGGCGTCGACTGGTATCGTTCTAAGACCAATGTTACATGTTAATGCCAGAATGGGCAATATAGTCGAGCCTGGCTAAGCTGATAGCCTGATTACCGAAAGTATTCAACAGCTATGGTGGATTATCAATTGAGTCGGTTCTGCGGTACTTTGCGGCAGAAATATACGGGGACGTCCGCGGGACTGGTGATCTTTTAGCAGATTTGAGAGGCTAGTAGGTAGTACCTAATGCGTTTAGGTAGGCTCTAAAGCATAAAGTTATTGACAAAGACGGTCTCAAAGTCCGGCTTGTTGTTCGCCTTTTTAAGATGTATATCAAACACCACTCAAGGCTGCTTCTGGAAAATCATTTTTCCTATTACTCTGTCGGACAATACTCGGGACTGTGATCGTATACTCTAAAACAAAACGCGTACATTCGTAATCGGACAGGTAGTCTACACGTCGAAAGTACGCCGTAATGTTGAAATGCTCGCACATGTGAGTTTATGATCCACGCTTACACGAAACAGACAAATGATACCGTATGGCCCTTACTCAGAATACTTCTAAGCGTGAGCGTTCACAATGTACTGATCAACGAGGGTGTCGGAGGGGTATGCGTTTGTTTTTCGGTCTGCATACGTGCAGAGCTTTACCTCTGATGGATAAAAGCCGAGCTATCATCAATAGACATCCGACAAAGTAGCACGGAAATCATTTGAGTACTTTGGCTGTACCGTGATGCGTGTTCGCTTGGCATCGCGTGCAGCAGCGAATTAGAGGGTAACGCCGAATTCATACTAGTTCAATGATAACTTGATCATCCGATACGTTGTAACCTTAGGGTACGCGCGGACTTCAGCCAGATAGGACAGCAAGTCCTCGCAGGTTATTCCGTTCGATGGTGCTACATACTCCTCCACGGAAAGGTATTCCCTCGAATAGCGAGCGAAACGGGTTCGGAATGAGCAATAAGCAGGTTACATGCATGCATTTACGCCAAGTTCGTGACGGCCAGCTCACAGCTGACGCTTTTACCGGACGCGTGAAACGTGACATGTTGAGCGCTAAAAAGCTAGAACTTCACTCTCGTTGACTTTATCTTCGAACATGTGACAGGATAGTACGTCCGCGTCAGCCATATTCGACATCTATCCTACCTCGTACTTCCCACAAAGTATCGCCTTCTCGACGACAGCATTAGTTGCTGTCGTAAACACGTCACAACGTAGTACATTCCCCTAAACGATAAGTGACATCTGCACTATCTCGTACATCCAGTGAAGCCTCGCATCCTCGACGATAATGATTGCAGCTGCCGTAAACACGACCTGTCTGTGTTTTCAATGCTCGGTTCAGCCGGAGGGTGTAGCTTTATAGTAAATGTGGTGTTAACTAAGCTTGTACATCATGATTGAAAGAGCACACGAACCAGACGGTTTGTAGTTCGTACTTGTGCGTAGTTTGCTATGAATGAGAAACGGTTATTCGTATTCATTGGCCGCTTTCTCGACATTAAGAGACCGCAAGAAAACAACATCTGACGCTTCGTAATCGGTCGGTTGATGACCAGTGGCATGCTAGTGGACCAGAGGTGGCGGCAACATCCCGGGCTCGATCATAGGATATCGTGCGTTAATCTGGTCCATGCGTTTGTGTGGTAATTATAGGCACAGCTGGATGTAATGCGAGTGGATAAAGAGTATTAAACAGCATTCAACGAAGAAGTTGTGGACCAGGATTTTATCGAACATTACTTCTGCGTACTTCCCGTTTTCCCTGCTACCATAGTAATCTGGTAAATGACAGGCACAGAAGTTGAAGAAGTTTACGACTACGAAATAAAGTAGCTTAAATGTCTTGCTGGTGGATTGTAGGTTGAAATCAGTACATCTAATCTAGAAAGAGGACCATAGCAAACAGAGGAGACATCATCACCTAAACCTCCAAAAATTGCCCAGAAGAAGACAGGAGTCTGGCCCCTAGGAAACCTTTAGACTATTGATATAGGTATCAGCCCGACGGCTCTTGGTGTGTTTGGCACGGATCAAAAGGTGTAAGCATGCTCACTGCCTCATCCAATGTGTTTTACTTTTTATAATGGCCGTGCGGTTCTTGTCAGTGTCTACTCCTTAATAAAGATGCTCTTTTGCACATCACGCATGACCCGGTAGCTTAGGTCCAGCTACCGTATCGGTGAAAGAGGCTGAACTAACATAATGCGATAGACTATAATAGACTATAACGAACATGAGGAGACCGACGTCGTCTACAAAGCAGGCCAACCTTACGCATGATCCGGCAGCTAGCTGTCTGACTGTGATCTCAGCCGCCACCATTACGATTGCTTCACCCATAGGCAAGACGCTTCGTGTCCTGTCGTTTCAGCAAGTATGGAGATGGAGAGGAACAAGTATGATTTGAGACGACCAAGGAGGCGAAATCCAAGCAGAGTTGATGGAAATACGCCGAACAGCTGCGAGCATGGAATCTGATATCGATTCGAGAGCCTCTTGATTGCATCCAAGCGAAGGAGTGCTCAGCTGGAGCACGTAAAAATGTCCGAACGACAGAAGTGGACAAGCTACAAATATGTGGTACTCGCGACACATTGGAGACCGAAAAGGTCAATATTGAGCGTGGGGTTTGCTTGCTGCTTGGTGTAACACGGGTAAGCAACCAAGCTGCTGGTAAATTGAAGCTTTAACGTGATATTCGTAACGCTCATGTCACCTTATCTACCCTCAATTTAACGTCTGTTATAATTATCGAGCCTCTTACACAATGTTTGTGATGCCCTGCTATGTGTGCTAACAATTCAATGACGTATTCGGTAGCTTTAAAGTGATCAGCACGCGAACTACCAATTCACGTCAATATGGTGCTATGATAAATTATGATGTCAGTAAATTTGATCATGTGCGCGTCATAGAAACGTCAAGCAGCTAAATTACATGCTAAATCAATGATTCCAAATGCTTCGGGAGCAAAGGGGCAGCTGTGGTGCTTCTACGTGTCCCATCGAAAGCGCGTATACATGAATACAGCTGCCAGTCATTTGCGGTGTTGTATTCTCACACGTTATTCCGATACTTAAAGCTTTGGTGCTTTTAGAGACATGAAAATGCTCACCAGACACGAGTTTATGGTGGCGATCGGGTAAATTTCATGTCGACGTAGTTGCATTTGCGTTATGACCTTTATTCTTTTACAAGAGGTTTGGATCCATAATTGCGCCAATCCAAATATACGGTCGTCAAAGTCATCGATCCTCGCCTGCTCAAAGTTTAGCTGATACAAATCACCACTATGTTCCGTTAAAAGTATAATAAAACGAACAACCGCGTCAATACCATCCCAACACATCTGCACCGCTTGTAAATCATTTGAATACCGACAAGCCATACTCACGTCCTCCGTTTATTCAGTATCTCGATGTTTACTTTCGTACAAGCGTTTGATCGCTTCGACATCGACAACCACTCCAAAACGCCGTCAATGCATGTCACTGCTTTCGCATAAGTATCGTCTAAAGGTTTTACAAATGGATGTCGGCTACGAAGGCGCTCAACTAACCTGTAGTTTCTTAAATTGAACGACGTACTTCATCGATGCGAACACGAAGCTCCGATGTACTGAACAAGTACAGCTATGCCAGACTTTTACAACCTTATTAGTGTAAAATAGGACCAGTTTGGACTCGTCCATGAAGAACGAGTATCGCCTCGTGAGGGAGCATGCAACAGGTCATACTAGTTTGTCAACCGATTGGACTCGAGCGTGAGGCAAAGCATGTAGCTCCGCTTCGTAAGTTACACATGTCCCTAACTAATAAGGTCCACGGAAGCTCATTTCAACCTACGAGGAAAGGGTAAAACAACGGCATGTCTACGCTTACTGTCTAGCGAATAGAGGTTCAATCACGAGGGTGGATAGCGCTGCTCAGCCAAACGCTGGCAAGCGACTACGCCAGCAACACTTATTTTCTAACGAAATGAACATGTTGTGTCCTGGAAGGAGCGTTGCACTAACACAGAATGTAATGCAAACCGACATAAGCTTGACTCAGTAGACGACGTTCGTGGTCGGAATTAACAACTTTAGCGCTTCTACAGGTAGCACACCTTGGCAATGATCGCGAGGAAATGCGTAACAAGAAGTACATATCAAAGTGAGATTCCTTGTTTATCTTTTGTACGTGTAAATCATAAGCAACGTGCTTGTAGCACGAGGAGGAACGTTTTCACGGAAAACCCTTTAAATATCATGACTCTGGCCAAACCCCGTCAATCGTCACGCATCAATCAGTAGGTCGCACAATACTTATAGTCACAGGTCACCCCCGGTCTCTCTTGTCGAGTCCAGGCAGTTAGACAGAATCGTAAGCTTCCATTCCATAACGAGGTATTGTTCATAGAAATTACTCGTACTGCGGCACAGGAGTTCGTGTAAACAATTTAAGTAGTTTAATAGGACGGGTGCGTTTGTCGCAAAGTTAAAATGATACTCACGACTGCGACACCCATAGGATGTGTGTAATATCTCATACATTACACAGAAGATGGGATGACGACGGTGTCGTAACATTTGCGACAACGGAACAACGTACGCGTGCCGCCCAGGGCACCAACACAATCACTACTGTATGGTCGTACACTAGGTGTTCATGGGGTGTTGACACCTGTTAATGGGGTGTGGACGAATTTGTTGAATTTCCATCATGAGCGACAGAGACGAACGGCCTACATTGGCAATTACTTATAAATGGAGATGCAAGACAGTATTGGAGCATCGTCAATCAGCACGACATCGTCCGGTTGTATCGTCGATTGTACGCCTGCACTTGTCGCTGGCCTGTATGTCTCGTATCTACCCCACATTCTCAAGTTTGCAACGTTATGACGCGGTACACGCTGTGCGACCCGGTCGATGTTGACATCAGGTGGTTTTTCAGAAGTTGTGGCTGACCCTCTGGTGGTCCGTGAATCATAAAGTAAACAGGTCAACGGCATACCAGCGAAAGTAGAAAGTGCAGATGCATTGGACGAGCACTGGATGGAACCTTGTCGTTTGGATTGGACGCTGACAATCGTCGATCAACGGTGACGGATTACAGGAGGTCACAAGTCCATTATCGTTCACGTGAAAAGAGCCCATGAAGTTTACGCTTCCAGAAGATGCTTTTCCTGCATTGGTTCTATCGCCGGTGCAAAAGGAAGCTTTCATTCGGGAGGCGCAGGCAGTAGTGCACGACACCCTTGTAGCAAACGAAGCTTTTCTCGCGGAGGGGTCCAAGTTTCCAACTACAAAGTGGAGACTAGTGCGGAGAAAAGACGGACTGAGCGTGTATCGCGAACGGCGGACAGCTGCAAATAGCAGAGCTCCGGGGCAACAAAAGAGCACTCATTTACCATCGCCATCAAGTCAAAGTTCATCGTGGACGACAGCTTCGGACGTCTCATCTTTTTCGTCGGACGATGCGAATGCATCTCTCATGGAGCTACCGGCTATGGTTCTTCACGGCACAGTGGATGGATCACTCGACGAGTGTATGTTCGGAGCATTTGCGCCAACGAATGAGGCGTGGAGGTGGCGAAGTTCTCACATCGGTGACCGCCTTGATGATTCCCGGATCCTGGCGACCATCCGTCTGCCAACGCATGATGACCCATTTCAGTTTTTGGGAATCAAATGGTTTGCCAAGGAGAATCCAGCGATACTATCACGTTTGATGCAACAGCGCGATTATCTCGTCATAGAGGCTACGGGGCTTACACGTGACTCTGCGGGTGAAAAGGTCGGGTATTACCTCATGCACTCAATTTCCTTGAGTGACGTACCGGAACTTACCGAGCTCGGTATCATCCGTGCCAAGCTCAGCATGTGCTTCATCGACCGCCAAAAAGGTACTGGCAAGGTTGAAAAGTACTGCCGTACGTTCAGTGAACCCGGAGGCAGGATTCCAGGCCGCCTTGCTGCTGCAGTAGGAGCCGAAGCCATCATCAGCGCCTCGCGCATTGTTGACTATGCGGTCGTTAAGAAGCTTACTTGGTTTATCAAGGAGAAGAGACAGCTCCAACGTGAGCGGCACCAAAAGACTGGATCGAGTCGACCCAAGCAATGCGCGACGTGTTACAAGACATTTAGCACGTTTGCTTCAACTGCGTTCTGTCACATCTGTCACCACGCTATGTGCACAAAATGCAGCGTGACTAAGAAGATGACTATCGACGTGTCAAGCACGGGTGCTGTGAAGCAGTGTGCACTCCAGTTTTGTATTAAGTGCATCATGGAGGCCAAGGAAAAGTCCGTGTGGGAAATGGCTCTCAGTGAAGTTGAGACTGCGTCCGAGATCTCGTCAATTTCAAGATCAGCTTCAGCCGGGTTTTTTGTAATTGAGACCTTTTCGTCGACGAACAGCGATGGTGCACACATGATAGACCCACTCAGTAATTGACCCGAATGCTAGCAGAACAAATGCTAGAGATTGTAGCTGTATGGACTTTCAAAGACCTGCCACGTAGTTGACATCGACTTTGTAAAGCAATCAGCCGAACGAAATCAATTCGGGTTTCGTGAGCGAAAATTAGTTCCTCAGTTCGATTACTACTCGAATCAGTGATAACTTCAATCAGGCAGTAGCTAAATCAAACATGTAGAGAATGGAACCCACGGTCTATTCAAGCAAGATAATTTCAAGGCGAGTGTGTTTCATGTGTACGTATGCGCTACATAATACTGCATAGCGTCTTGACCATCGCTAGTACGAACTAATAATGCGCTTCGTAATTGCCGGCGATAACTACGTCAGTGTCGGAAAATCTATTGCAAAATTAAATCATTATTTCGATATCGTAATCAGCAATAAAAAAGCTATTACATGATGAAGCGACCAACAAAGTGCGAGTAACATGTCAGGAGTCCTGCGTAAGGTAAGGAAGCAAGCTCTGGAGCTCCATCTTTGATATCAGTAGTTCGGTCCAGAGAACAAAATCAAGTTCTGTACATTCACGTACCCATTATAAGGTAATTGGCAGCGAGGAATGGAGTTATGGTGTCCGATTATCAATTCGAGTGCTGATGGTGTGTGTGTATCACAGCTACTCATTGATATTGTTGATAAGAGAACATCGATGATCCTGATCGGTAACGCCGTAAAAACCGAAGTGCGGCTTGTTGGAAATGGAAGTTACATCGGAGTGAGACACGGGTATATGGGGAAAAACAGGTCGTTGTATGGGAACAGGAAGTTGTTACAGTTGACACTGGTAAGGCATTATGTGGGAACGGAGAGCACCGTTAGTGTAGGAAAGAGTACGAGTCGGTAACACTTCAAATATATTTAGTCTTCATTTTACCTTCCAGTACGCAAATGCGCTCAGGGACACAAAGTCTAACAGGGTTATGAGCCCAAAGCTGATGAAGTACACAAGTGAAGGGATGCCGAAAAACTGGGACGGCAACGATTGCCAGACGTACAAATGGGCGATGATTCCTGTTTTTAAGGAGAACGACCTCAAGGTTATTGCAGTTGGTGACTTGACCAGGGCAACGCTTGCGACTGCTTCCGCAGAAAAGCAAGAAAAAGAGTTCGCGAAAAAGCTGCTGAAAATCATGTGGATGATTGGTTTGTCGGTGCCTCCAGAAGTCCTTCATCAGATACGCGACAAGGAGGCCGGATCGGATATGTGGAAAGAGCTTTGCAATCTGTACAAAGGGAAGCAGAACGAATCAATCAGGGCATATACGATTCGTCGTGTGGAACATGAGCTGTGGAACACGAAGTTAACACCTGGAGGAGATGTGAATCTACATATGTGGAAGGTGTTTAGTTTTAAAGCGAAATTGTAAATCGGAAGCACATTGTGGAAGATAATACTATGGTTGATATGCTACTTGATAGTTTGGTGGATCAGATCGAATTTGAGCGGCTTAAGTCTTCGATCTATTATGGTGAAGACTCTAGTATATATTCAGCGGCCCGAGTTCGTTAGCTGATTCTCGCCGCGTCTGCCAGGAAAAGAGAGTTCCGATGCAAACGCGGTGAACAGAAAAAGAAGGCTGGGTTTCGCAGTGAAAGTCACAAATTTGGTGTAGACCGAGGTGCCAAAAATCGAAACGGTGTTCGTGAATCAAGCAAGATTCGAACATGTTACATACGCGAAAGTGACAAACTCCTCAAAGCTAGCTGTCCCCAGAAGACTCAAATCCAGACAGACCTGGATCGTCGAATCAGAAGCAAAAGCTGCGAGGAAACATGATTTGGCGAAAAGGTCATGCAAAGTTAGATGTAGTGTAGACATCATTTAATAACCCTTTAGGCAAATCTTGATTAACTCATTCTAAATTTAAATTATTATTTAAAATTGGATTATAAAATAAAATATTTTTTAATATATATATGTATATTTTTAAATAATTGTTTGTTAAAAATTGTTGATAATTTACTAAATTAGTAGTTTTTTGTTGTTTTAATTTTTGCATCTAAATCTGAGATTTAAGCCTAGTAGGATTTGAACCTACAACTCTACCGTTATGAGCGCAAGCGAGGCATTTTGAGAATGCCCACGGACCTGAAACGAGGTGTGGAGGACTATGTAACAGATGCTCAGCACCGCATATGACTCATGGTAATGATATCCATGAGATATCGGATGCTACAGAAGATGCATAAGATATCAGCGACAAGGGTGATGTGGATGAGAGTAAAACGATGTGGCATTTTGACACTGCGTCAAGTTTACGTGTTACCGGAAATAGAGCGCATTTTTACGTTCTCAGAGGTGGACACAAGTTTGCATAGTATACGTGGCGTGGCGCCGAATTTTTGTTGCGTATTGCCGGTACGGGAACCGTAGGATTGGTCACCGATGTGGAAGGGAAAGCTTTTGCATTTTTTCTGGACAATGTCAAATGTATCCCGGAAGCATACGGAGTATTTTCCCCAGGCCTCGCATTTCGCCAGGGTTTTACATTTAAACTTGAGCAAACCACTCAAGTCTTTTCTGTCGTATTTAACGAGCGGGTGGTGGCTATAGCTAAACCGCAAGATGATACGTGAAGATTATAAGCGGCGTTTTCTTTCCGGAGATGTGATCAGTTACCCCATCGTGAAGCGCTGTGCAACTGCACGATGGCCAATCGTGTAGGGTCATTGCAACCTTAACATGAAAGACTTTACCACGCCTGTCCACAGTACCTACAAAACATGGTGGACACAGGACTAGAAAGAGGCATGATGATAACACAAAGACAGCACCGCACGTGCGACGCATTCCATTTAGGAAAGCAAAAGCTACGGACACATTGGAAGAAGCTTGATCGCGCGACAAATGAGCCAAATTATATGGTATATGCGGATATGCTGATACCGGGACAGTCAAATGCGACTAAAATTGCGGCAGTGCTGGTTATTTTATAGGGTTACTCAAAATTCATTACCATAAAGTTACTCACTCGCAAGGAAAGCAAGATCATAATTCAGCACGTGCAGGAGTACATTATATAGCCAGGACGGCAAGCCGGTCGATACATAAGCAATTGTTCATACAAGGTGAAGCAAGTACTCAGTGACAAAGGTGGCGAGTTTTGCAACGTTGTGATGGAGGCTTGGTATTGCTTGATAGGAAAACTTGCACGTTAAAGTTGGAACCATAATCTCCCAGCTGAACCTGTGTGAGAGGACCCATCAGTTGATCTAAGGCATGACATGATCGACCATGGCTCATTCAGTCTCTTCATGAAGTTTATGGACGGAAGCTATGTGTAATGCAGTGTACGTTAAGAATCGAGTTTACAACAAAAGCAGAGAATTCCATGCGAGATGATTTTTGGAGCAATACCTTATAAACACCATATCAGAAACTTCGAAGCTCTAGCATACGTGCATGTGCCACTATCTCCAGGACGCAAGAAATACGGTGTGCATGTCAAAATTGGATTTGTTCTTGGCTATGCAGAAGACGTCGTAGGGTGCAAGGTACATTTTTCCGACAACCCCATTGCTACATTTGTTTCGGGTCTACGTGTCACGGATGATACCGTGTATCACGGTCGATAACGGGTGATGTGGAAGAGGATGATCTTTCCTCACTACATTTTGTTTAAAAACGCGATGAAGAATGCAATACGTTCACTGATGCTGATATGGTGAGCGCACTCAGCCATCTTGAAGCAACTGGTGGCTTTGAAGATGCCACGCAGGCACCCACGGCTATGATCTATAAATCTAACGAGGGAACAGAGGAAGGGCGATCTGATATTGATGAAAATGATAGGCTCAGAACGAATGCTTTATTCGACGACGACAAACAGTCTCTAGTTGTTACATGCGGGCCGACTGTAGTCAAGCATGACACAGATGTAACAGACCCGGATACAAGTTAGACCCATGATTGAAAGGATTTCTGTAGCTTGCGAAGAAGATGAGAAAAATCCAGGAAGCATTGACTGTACTCTTGAAAACTATGGTGGGGATATAAATACAGCGTGCCTCAATGCCCCACTCAGTATCAAGAAGTACCTAAGATCGTTTAGTGGATATCCGTACAAGGTAAATGGAAATGTGTACATCGTTCAAAAGGTATTACATGGGCTTCGTCAATCAGGACACGAGTGGAACTCGGAGCTGAGCCAGTGGTTTCTGGACGAAGGGTACTAGCCGTCGCGCACTGATTCTTGTCTGTACTATTTTTTTCCATGAAATTACGATCGTCCATGTAACGGTACATGTTAATGACATATTGAACGCGACAAAAATGCGGACTACCTGACGAATCTACTGAAGAACTTAAATGACGCTTATGAAAACAAAGATCAATGATTACTGACCCAGTATCTTGGTATCGACGTGAAACAGACAGATGCACAGATCTCAAAATGTTAGGAACAGTATGCAAAGGAGAATCTACGAGAGATTATATACGATAAGACACATGCTGTGGGCAAGCTGTAACGGGGCACCCTGAAGCTTGTACTGGTGACAGTACAAGCTACTTATTCTGATAACAGAATAAGGCGGTGCCTCGTAACTTCACGTACACTCGTACGTGCAGAGGAAGACGGTAAGAAGAAGCGAGTACTTGGTTAGAGTAAAAAGTAGAACTGTATTTAGTATAGTTAATGTCTGCAATAAATCACTATTTATCTTCATCTAACTATGTCTAAATACAAATGTGTAAATCAATTATCTGCTCACCACTCATTGCGTGCGTCCGTCGTGGCGCGTCTTCGTTGGTTGATATAATGGCCTATATCAACCAATTAGGAACTACTTGTAAGTGCTACAGAATATTTGTCCTTATGACAATATTCTGAGAATAAAACTCTTACAGTTATATTCTATTAACAATTTCTTATAAATTGTTATGTAACGATTCACCCCGTTACATCACCCCTCCCTTAACCATCAGTCACTTTAGTGACTGATTGACTAAATGGATACTCGTCCCAAATCATTTGGGACAGGGTTTGCACTTGTTGGTCCGCGTCCACTTTCCAACATTTCATCGCATGGTAAACAAGCCCATGCGATGCGCGAGCAAGGCCGCCGAGAGCGCGTCTGCACGTCTCTGTGCGGACGCCGAAGCAGAAACCACAGCAACTGATGTCCCATCGGTTGCTGAAGAGACCCAGCCTGTGTCACTTGGTGACGCAGGCGCTGGTCATGAAGACACTCGTGTCTTCACAGAGTACGAGCTCGGTGTCTCGTACTCTCCTGGTACGGATGACGGATCCGTATCGACGGCAATTGAATCCAAGCCGCCTGCCAAGCGTGGCATGGACGATGCTTTGCGTCGCAGCATCTTTGGTTCATCTGATGAGTCAGATGAACCATCGCCGAAGCGAAGGCGCTCGAGGTCGCGAGACTCGGGCGCTAACAGTGGTGTCGGTTCTCCAATGGACACCACTTCACAGCGAGGTGCCAGTACTTCTGTCGGCACGTCGCAGGAAGAGCGGGACCGCAATATGTTGCGTCTCGCTCCAGAAAAGAAGGCATGGATGCCTCCAAAATCTGTCATGGATCACTTGTCGGCGACGACGAGTGATCGTTATCGAACACGATTGTTCGATTCGTCAAGGATCCATCACCTTGACCCCAGCGCGAAAGACTATCGCGCTGAACATGAGTTCTTCATCGATGCTTTCTTCAGACATCGATGGTACAGTGGGAATCACAAACGTGATGGTCCCTCACTACTTCAGGCGTGGAACGCCTACATCCATAACCTCGAGGATGTAGGTCGTGACGCTTGGAACGACAAACTTATCAAAGCTCGTGATAAGTTTGAAAAGCGAACCCCGACAGGTGCACGCTACAAGCTGCATCGTCTGTCAAGGGAGAAAGGATTACCCTGCCTCTCTTGGGGAGACTCGTGCCCATGTTGTGTGAACAACTCTGCACGAGCACCTAAGGAGGCTTACCTCCTTACCAGCCCGTGGTGGCGCGTACGTGTCTCTACTGAGATGTACGAAGGGATTGACAACCTGAAATCCCTTTACGACCGTGCCGGGAAGACTTTCTCCGGCGGTCCTTCTGCGGCACAGGATGTGCCGCGTCGTACTGCTCGACCAGACCCAGTACGTCAACCATCAATTGGGAGCGGGGGCTCCCAAGAATCCCAGGACGGGGGATAGCCGCGCCACCGGACGAGGTAACTCGTCCGACGTCCGTTCACGTCGCGGTGGTTCAACAGCTGCTCAACTAGATAGCGCTGGCCACCGCGAGAGTCCTCTAATGGAGGTGGAGGAGGAGGAAAGACGCTCTCCACACGATCATGTGGATCGGTGTGTTCCCGAGAGCTTCTTTGATCGCGTAACGCAAGGGTTACGCGACGATCTCGAGCATGAGCGGAATAGGCGTCTCCAGATGGTGGACACTGCCTCGAAGCATCGAGCTGAGTTTGCCTTTGCTCAGCTTGAGAACGAGAGATCTCTGACATCTCTTCGTGACGAGCTAAGGGTAGCTCGTGGGATTGTTGATCGGTCTCGGGCTGAGATAACTGCTCTTCAGACCCTTGTTGATGCCCACCATCGGGAGCACAAGGCTCTCTGCGAGATGCTTGAGCGCAAGGGCGTTCTTCATCGGAAGAAGCAGCGTACTGATGGTACGGCTTAAGCCGACCAACGTAAAACGTGGGATGCGTTCGCATCTTACGTGGTAACTCGATCGTGTATGCATTGCCTAGGCGGTGCAATACACGAAATGGGCCAATGTACTTGGGTAGTAGTTTACTGCTACCCAAGTTAGTCACTACATGTTTTGGTAGATTAACCGTAGACAGTAGGACTAAGTCACCTTTATTAAATAAAAGAGTGTTTGCCCTTCCATTCTTGTCAGCGTTTTGCTTTTGCTTATCCACCGCTTCGGCGATGGAGTCTTGCACAAAACGGACTACCGTTTCACGAGCCAGTATGAACTCATCTGATGACTCGTTAGCTTCAGTGTGCTGTGAGCGCACTGCAGCGACAACAACCTTTTCTTCAGTGAGGGCTTCCGCACTCTCACTGGGATCATTGTCTTCAGTGAGGGCTTCCGCACTCTCACTGGCATCATATTCTTCGATATCGATGTTATCGATATCGGCATCAAACGCAATGACTTCTTCGTCAGAGCGTGATGAGCGTGAACCAAATCGGTTTTTGCTCGCGCGAGTCCCTCCCCCCCTTAAACCAGAGTTACACTCTAGTAAGGTGGGTATACGCGGATGGCGCAAGCCATTCACGTAAAACGGTGTATGTGTCGTGGACGCATGCACCGAGTTGTTGATGGCAAACTCTACCATCGGCAAAAACTCACTCCAACTCTTAAAGGAGTGTACGTATCCTCGAAGGATCTCTTCAAGGACACGATTGGCACGTTCCGTCTGACCATCTGACTCTGGATGATCAGATGTTGACATCTTCAAGCGCGTTCCGAGTGATTTGAACACGGAACGCCAGAAATCAGCAGTGAATCGTGGATCTCTGTCTGATACGAGTTCACGGGGCAACCCATGAAGTCGGAAGATGGTGTCAATAAAGACACAAGCACAGCCACTTGCCGTGATTGTCTCTGGTACAGCCACAAGGTGTACCATTTTGCTGAATCTGTCAACAAATACGAGGATACCCGTATTCCCGCGTGCGTCTTTGGGTAACCCGAAGACGAGATCCATTGAGATGGATTCCCAGCACTCAGCCGGAACCGGTAGAGGCTGTAAAGGTGCACGCAGTGAAGGACTTGACTTCACTCGTTGGCAGACTTCGCATGCGCGAACATACTTTCGCACAAACTGATACTGGCGGGGCCAGTAAAAGTCTCGACTTACCGTGAGATATGTTTTCTCTCGGCCACGATGTCCTCCTATAGGAGCATCGTGATACTCGAACATGATCCGCAAACGCAGATCAGTATCATCTGGAATGACAACACGTGGTGTGTCACCAGAAACGGCTGTATAATACAGTAAACCGTTACGAGTAGTGTATCGATCTGATGCAGATCGATACGCAGACGACAATCGTTTCAACGATTCTCGGGATGGTTGGGAGAGATGTGACAACAACTTCACTATCTCACCATCTTGGGCGTATGCCCGCCTCACATCATCATACAACATTGTAGATGGGACTGAGGACGTCATAACCGCAACAGTGACTGTCTCACTGTTGGGTTTCGCGACTGTTTCAAAGTCGGGACGACGTGAGAGTGCATCAGCGACGACATTAAGTCGTCCTGGTTTGTACTCGACCGTAAAGTTGTATTCTGCAAAGAATGACAACCACCGCGCCATTCGTTGTGAAAGGTGCGGGCTGTTCACTGCCGTGCGTAAGGACGCATGGTCAGTGTAAACAACGAAGGGTCTATCTCCTAATAGATAGACTCTGAACTTCGCGAGTGCATACTTCATGGCAAGGAGTTCCTTGTCATGTACTGGATAGTTCCGCTCAGCTGGTTGCAGCTGACGCGACTGATAGCAGACGACGCGTTCAACGCCTTCAAGATCGTACTGCATTAATGCACAGCCGATTGCGAAATCGCTGGCATCACAGACCACATGAAATGGCCTGTCCTGATCGGCTATTGCTAGGACTGGGGATTGTATCAAGCTCTGCTTGATACCCTCAAAGGAGCGTTGACATTCAGCGTTCCATAACCACCTCTCGTTCTTTTTCAACAAACGAGAGAGGTGTACAGTCATCTCGGCGTAATTGCGTGAATACTTATGCAAATACGCCGCTAGCCCAAGGAATTTTCGAAGACCTTTGACATCGACCGGCACGGGCCAGTCGGTGATCGCCTTGATCTTTTCGGGATCAGGACGTACACCGTTCTTACCAACGATGCACCCAAGAAGTGGTATTTCGCTTGCTGCAAATATACACTTCTTGAGGTTTGCATACAATTGATGCTTTCGCATGATTGTAAGAACTTGTCGGACGTGGTACCTGTGAACCTCAACGTCCGACTTTCCATCCATAGCTCGACTATGGATGAATACGTCATCGAAATAACTCGGCGCGAACTCTCGTACTGGTCTCAACAGATGTGATACACATCTGTTGAACGTGGCAGGGGCATTACTGAGCCCTTGTGGCATTACTAGCCATTCCCAGAGCATGCCGCTAGGCGTGCTAACTGCGGTATAGGGTATATCCCGTCCCGCATTAGGATTTGATAGAAGCCATCCATCAAATCCATGGACGAAAAAGATGGTACTCTTTGACATACCATCAATGATTACGTCCTTCCTCGGTATCGGCGTCTGAGCCGGTACCGTTGCAGCGTTCAATTTGTTGAACGCGTGCACTATCCGCCACCCTCCTGTTGCTTTTCGCACACAGAAGGTCGGAGAGCTATGTGGGGAAGTTGATTCCCTCACATGGCCCGCTGCTAAACGATCGGCAAAGAACTTGTCGATCGCAAGTACTTGTTCACGAGGCAGTGGCCACTGCTTCATGACACAGTACTTCGAGCCTGGTTTAAGCTCGACTTCGTGTCGAATACCTTTATCCTTCGGTAATTCGCACGGAACAGTTTCAGGGAATACATCCTTGAATTCAACCAAATCCTCATAGAGAGGATTTTCCTTGAGCGATTCCCATGATTGGGACTCATATCGCTCAATTCGTGTCTTTTCATCTAGGACACTCTCGTCCATAGATGAACTACTGAGAACTCTCTCGTTCTCAGTAAACACTGTTGCTGACCTTATGTCGGTTACACACTCGTCGTCAGCGACGAGTATGCAGATCTGCTTGACTTTGCCACTACGCAGATCACGCAAGAACCTTTTATGTTCGAGCGTTGGCAACTGAGTGATCTCCGAAGTTAACTTCGGAGGCGCAATCAGATCAAGTGTATAAGCGCCTACACATGATCCGTTATTGACTATGACATTCAATGTCTCTGTCATTTCCTGGGGACTTATTCCCTCAGGCTTCGAAGGACTTATTCCTTCGTCTTCCCGGGGACTTATTCCCGCGGGTTTCGGGGAACTTATTTCCGCCGTATTTGTAATCTTGGGACTTATTCCCTTTACTTCCTCTAGCTGGGGTTGCGCAACCACAGCGAGATCCTCTACGAAAGACTCTCCAGTCGATCTAGGATTATCGTTTCGCTTAACCTGAGCGATCGATTGTTTCTCTTCTAGATGTTCCCCTCTAGGGATACATCTTTGTCCCAGTCCACCCGACTTATTCGAGTGGTGGACCTTCGGCGCAGCCTGTGTTTCCTCACAGCCGCCGGAACTTTGCTCCGAAGTGTAACCGTTTGGTACACTAAGGTTTTGTGCAGTCGTACTAACGACCGTACCACAAGTGAGGCCATCGCACTCACTCGTAGTACATCCACACGCTTGTGGACGCTCCAAAACGTTCATCAGATGGCCATCTGATGAACAAGCGGCAGGCATCGTTACTGTCCGATGTTGCCAGTTTACCCGTGGTTCGTACCTTCTGAGCCACGGTATTCCGAGGATGACATCAAATTTGTCATCCAAATCCAATACGATAAAGTCATCGTCGTATTGGGTATCTTCTAGCGTATAGTGAATCTTCACTATACGCTTCATGACGGTTACGGATGCGCCTGTCGCAAGACGTACCGTCATCCTCGTAGGAGGTGTGTCACATTCACTGAATTTAAAGTGACCATCTTCTAGCGATTGGCGTCGCACAAAATTGTTGGACGCCCCACAATCGACTAGAGCTCGAAGGGACAACTTATTCGTCACTTCGAGTTTCAAGGTAATGAGTGAGATCTCATTACCTAGAGCAGCAACGCACAATGTCTGTGTGTTGGGAGCAACCTTCATCAAGAGGCCTACAAATTCTCTTGACGTTGCTGGATCAGTAGGTGCGGAGCACCCTACTGATCCTGTCCGTTTTTTGACGGTCCATCCCGTTGTTGCGTCTTTGCACCAACTGCGGACCCTCGTCCCTGCCCCTTTCTCATGGGTGGTCGGTCACTACGCCCAGTGTCGCGAGACACTGGACGAGGGGCACTACACTCGTAAGCGTAGTGTCCTGTCTTTTGACATCTGTTGCATCTCTGCAACTTCTTGTAGCCTGTAGAGCGAGCCTTCTCGCTCTCTACATAACAGAGTTCCATCGGCTCTGGACCTCCGTTGTCATATCGTCTCGGTTGACGATATGATGTCGAGCTGGCGCGAGCCTGTCTCAGACTGAAGTCTTCCTGCTCCGCAATGGAAATGGCTTGTTCTAGTGAATCTAGTTCAAGCCGGAACAGGTGAGTCTTGACGGGACCATCCGCAAGACCCTGCATGAACACCGAAACCAACGTGTGTTCATCCACGGGATTGGAACTTATACAACTCGTAAGATGTCGTATATGTTGAGCGTAAGCGTGCACATCACGCTTACCCTGCTTGAGCTTCAAGAGTTCGGTTCGAGCCCTGAACTCAGCTCTAGGCGGTTCAAACGTTTGTCTGAGCCGCGACTTGAAGACTTCCAACGACCCAAACGCATATGGGTCGTGCAGCTTGAGCCCCAGTGCCCAAGTCTTGGCACGTCCTGCCAGATTTGATTGGGCAAATGCAACTTGCATATCCCCGTCGTCGATGCGACGCGCCCTTATGGCGTCATCCAATTCGACGAACCATCTCAAGAGGGAGT